AGGATGGGTAAAAACTAAATTAAACTGCTTAGTTGCATGGAATTTGTTCAAAACTGGTTGTGTTTCCGATTAAGTATTTTGCATGTTTTATTCTGTTTTGTGTAACTCTTGTTCCTATTGAATTCAATTAATGAATGATGAATTTAAATTACTCTGGAATACCCTAAGACTTAGTTTTAAATTAACAAGAAACTTGGGTTGGAGGAACAAAGTTGCCGGAGTTGGAGAAGAAGTTGAACAACATGTTTTCTTTTAGGTGCATGTTAATCGTTTTTAAACTATTTTGTTTAATTCTTGTTCCCACTGAATGTGATTATTAATCAAGGAAGTTAATTAACTTTTGAACACCCAAGGACTTAATTTTCATCAGCAAGAAATTTGGTTTGAAGGATCAACACAGCCGGACACCGCCGGAATTGGAAAAATGACGCACAGGGGAAGAAGCCTGCTCTATTTCAAGTAGAGCAGGCTCAATTAAAAGATGGAGTAGGCTCTACTTTGTAGTAGAGCCGGCTCTACTTGGTGATGGAGGCGGCTCCACTCTAGGTGGAGCCGGCTCCTTCGAGGGTTTTCTTTTTTTTTTTTGGTTTTCTGCGAGACTGCTAGTTACTGTGCTTGGATTAATGGGTTTTCAGGGGCAACTAAGAGTTTAATTAGAGGTTCTCAGTGATGTTTAAATTCCTACTAAACTTCAGAAGGTATGATAATACATATTTATACTATAGAAGGTTAGTAGAAGGGACATTATGAAACTTTTAAGAAAGTTTATATGGTTGCTTTGTGCGAATGATTCAAGTTTTTAATTTTAATTTAGCAATTGAATTAGGCGTTTGATATGTAAATCATATAACAGGGGTATGGGATTAAGTCGGAATAGCAATGAAAGCTCTACTTATCTCCTCTTTTGGAATCAATCACTGATCAAATGGTAAATACTAGATACTCACTCTTTTTAGGGTTTTGCTGTAGGTTTGAAAAGTTGACCGAGAGGGAAGGAAGAAAGGAACAGAGTTGGGTACAATTGTGTCGCTTTTACCATGTGAATGTAATTTATTGGAGAAATAAATTTTTTAATAAATATTAAAATCAATACAACATCTTTAAAGATGATTTGATTCATATGAAAATCACTTCAAAATTCATTATCATGTTCAATAAATTGATATGGTCTAATTTGGACAGCATGGTTTCTATTTATCCAAACATTTAACAAGTTTTTGAAACTTATTGCATTGGTAAGTACTATTAATATCAAAAGTAGATTTATTAAAATGCTTAATGAGCATTTGTATAACCATTGCTTTGTCATGAGGATCTTCATGCGGGGCTCTGTCATTATCATTGATTTACACACTTTTAAATATGTGCAAAGGTGAGGATTATGGAGGCCATTGATATGCTGTGATGCATGAAGGTAAATATCGTTCAAAACAAAGGGATATTAATGAATGCTCTACTTATCAGCTCTATTGGAATCAATCGCTGATCGAAGGATAAATACTAGATACTCACTCTTTCTAGGGTTTTTTTGTAGGTTTGAAAATGTGACTGAGAGGGAAAGGAAGAAAGGAACAGAGTCGGATACAAATAGGTCACTTTTACCATGTGAATGTAATTTTTTTGGAGAAATAAAATATTTAATAAATATTAAAATCAGTACAATATCTTTAAAGATGATTTGATTCATAAGAAAATCACTTCAAAATTCATTATTATGTTCAATAAATTGATATGGTCTAATTTGGACAGCATGTTTTCTATTTATCCAAACATTTAACCAGTTTTTGAACCTTATTTCATTGGTAAGTACTCTTAATATCAAAAGTAGATTAATTAAAATACTGAATGAGCATTTCTATAACCATTGCTTTGTCATGAGGATCTTCATACGGGGATCTGTCATTATCATTGACTTACACCTTTTTAGATATGTGCAAAGGTGAGAATTTTGGAGGCCGTTGATATGATGTGATGCGTGAATGTAAATATCGTTCAAAATAAAGAGATGGCAATGAAAGCTCTACTTATCACCTTTATTGGAATCAATCACTGGTCGAAAGATAAATGCTAGATACTCACTCTTTTTAGGGTTTTTCTATTGGTTTGAAAAAGTGACCAAGAGGGCAATGAAGAAAGTAAGTCGGGTACAAATGGGTCACTTTTACCATGTGAATGTAATTTCTTGGAGAAATAAAATATTTAATAAATATTAAAATCGGTACAATATCTTTAAAGATGATTTTATTCATATGAAAATCAATTCAAAATTCATTATCATGTTTGATAAATTGATATGGTCTAAAGGTTGTCTAAATATTGCTTAATTTAATGTAAAGATATTTTTAAAAGATAGAATTTATAAAAGTCAGAAAAAATGAAAAATGAAAAAAGTACCACTTGAAATTCTTAGAATGTCTCCTATAAAGGCTGACCAAACCAACTGTATACGAGAAAGTACCCATTTAACAGTAAGATTACTCTCAATCGTCGTCTATTGATTGAATTAAAACAGAGAACCAACATTGCAAATCTCCAACCCTGTTTCTCTCTCCAACCTTCTTTTCTCTCTCAATAACTGCAACTTCTTCTCTCTCTTCTGCATATCTCCAACCTTCTTTTTTCTCTCTCTACAACTCCAACCTTCTTCTCTCTCTGGCTACCATCTGCATATCTGCATCAGATCTACAAAAAACTTCCCATGGCCGATCCAACTGGTCCAAACTTGGTTCTGCAATTTCTACCTGGTCCAACCGAAGTTGCCCCTCCTCTAGTCGTCAGACACGTCCCACCACCATCTCCTCCAGACTTCGGTCACGACCTACCACCAGCTCCTCCAGTCGACGGTCACGTCCCACGACCACGTCATATATATATAGATAGATATATGAATACTTGTTGCCATGGCGGCTTTTCACGTTTCCGCAAAACCTCAAAAGCCGACTGGAAAGTTAGCGGGGTCGATGGCGGGTACGAGCTGGGCAGGCTCTGGAGGTGGTGGGACATGAACGACGTCTGGAGGAGGTGTACGTGGGACGTGACCGACGACCGGAGGAGGTGGTCGTGGGAGGTGACCATCGACTGGAGGAGGTGGTGGTAGGTCGTGACCGACGTCTGGAGGTGGTGGTGGTGGGACGTGTCTGATGACTGGAGGAGGTGCAACTTCGGCTGGACGAGGTGGAAATTGCAAAACCAAGTTCGGACCAGTTGGATTGGCCATGGGATGTTTTTTGTAGATCTGATGCAGATATGCAGCTGGTAGCTAGAGAGAGAGAAGGTTGGAGTTGTAGAGAGAGAAGAGAAGGTTGGAGATATGCTGATGGTAGAGAGAGAAGAAGTTGGAGTTATAGAGAGAGAAAAGAAGGTTGGCGAGAGAAACAGGGTTGGAGATTTGCAATGTTGGTTCTCTGTTTTAATTCAATCAATAGACGAAGATTGAGAGTAATCTTACTGTTAAATGGGTACTTTCTCATATGCAGTTGATTTGGTCAGCCTTTGTAGGAGACATTCTGAGAATTTGAAGTGGCTCCTTTTTTCATTTTTCATTTTTTTAATTTTTATAAATTTTTTCTTTTAAAAATATGTTAACATTAAATCAAGCAATATTTAGACAACCTTTGTAGGAAAAGTTATCAACTCAACTAGCTTGAAAGCTATAATAAGAAAATTTTAATTTACATCTAACAAGAATAGATAGAAAAGGAACATTAATTAGAAAGATAGTAGTAGCCTTCAACTAAAGTAAAATTGCCACGGTAAAAGTAAAATTGGTGTCAAATGGCAACCAAGAATGTTACCTGAAACTGAAAGCATACCATTGGAGCTACTTTCTCCTTTGTCTACACTCGTACAAATAATTCAACAGCTTCTAATATCAATTCCAATCAATTAAGTAATGCAAATTTAAAATAAATAATAGAGATTAAAGAGATATATAAATATGAATTTCATTAAGATATATATATTTGGTCTTTAGTGTTCTTTTACACTATTATTAATTTTTTTTCAAGGTAAAACCATTTCAATTAGTCCGTTAAATTTGCATTAGAATTTTAAAGTAGTGACAGTTAACATTAAATTAAATGACAAATGCACCATTCAATTAATATTTCTCATGAGCCACCTTTACTCCCTTGTGATTATTGATTGTTTATTGTACATTTAAATTTGAATAGAAAAGAAACATTTAAATCGTGTTGCTTATGAGCCACCGAGGGTGGGGACGATGAGGGAGCTGGCTAGGGTGTGCCAGTACGTACATTGTAGTCACGTGACGGCACCGTTTCTGACAGCACACGGGACGGGGGAAGGAGTCACGTGCCCGACCGGGTCCAAGATGTTATACGAGAAGGCAACGAGCCTCTAATGTGGCAAGGAACATTGTAGTGATCATTTGAATATATACAAAATTATACCAACGGTTGGCTGACACGTGTCCCGACTCTGTTCCTCCACCTCTCGGTCAATTTTTCAAACCCACACAAAAATCCTAGAGAGAGAGAGAGAGAGAGTATCTAGTATTTTCTTGACTCTTTTCTTTACCGTATTGTGATTCATTTCCTTTCCTGTGTGTGTATATATATATATATATATATATAGGTCTTCAGACCTCTTTGATGGGGCGCATGACACACCCTTTCCTGATTCAAGGTCTGAGAGCAATGGGTAATGTGGAGGAATATGTAACAGAGGGTATTGTGAAAGTTGACATGCCTGGGATCGGGAAAGACGGTCTGGATGTAAAGGTCAAAAACAACGAAATCCACATCAAGGGAAAGGCAGAGATTGATCCTGAAGAGGTCGAGTAATGAGTATATCGCAGAGAGGATATACGCCGGCGTTAAGGCGTAGATGCTCTTCCTCCGGGCTTTTACAACACGGTTTTGGCACACTGAATCCTCATGCAGCCGCATCACACCGAATGAACCCACTTATACTAACACAATCCAATGGTCCAGATCAAGCCGCATCTAGGGCTCAGAAAAAATATATATAATAATTTAGGGCAAATCATTTCAGCCTCCCCCAATCGTTTCCATCTATATTCTCGTTCTCAGATCTGAACTAGCCCTCTCTCTCTCTCTCTCTCTCTGCAACTGCAAACTACAAAATCTAGAAGAATCAGAAGTTCAAAACCCATCTATTTCAGTTTATCTATCTGTCTGCAAGAATCAAAAGTTAAAAACCCATATCGGCATATCATTTCATATTGTTCAAAAGAATCAAAACCCGTATCTTTCAGTTTCCATCGCCCGCTGTTCCAGTTCGGGTTAGCCGTTCGCAAGCTTCAGCCGCTGGCCCGCCGTTTCCCTGAGGTAATCACCTTAATCTACATTTTATTTCAACAAAACAAATATATATATTTTTTATTTCTATAACTTCTATTTCTGTTTATTATTATTCGTTTGTTGTTGTTGCCAATTATGATTACAAGAAAATTTGAATCTGGGCATGAAAAAAGAAAAACAAAGAATCTGAATTGGAAGATTGAATCTGAAACAATTTTTTATCAACATCCAAGCTTTTTGAAGATGGAAATCTTTTCAGAACCAAAAATAAATAAATAAATAAAAAATAAATCATAACAAGAACTTTGACAAGCAAAAGTACTTAATATAGGGTAAAGCTCTAAAGTTACTTCTTGAAAATTAAAATACTTACAAAAAGCATGCTTTTGAGTGAATTCCATAGTATTGGAAGGGGCTTGCCATGAACTACCTCACACTCTGCTTCCACCAGTAGATTCTCAAATAGGATTAGTAAATTGGTCAAAAGAAGAGGTAGGGTACTGAGTGGTGAATTGTTCAGAATTAAATTGGTAATTTTTTTTTATTAATTACCCAAATAGGATTTTTTATGCCTTAATCAGTCAATTGTCTAAAGAAACATTGTTAGTTAACTAAAATTGAATTAAACAACAGTTGATTTTGGTTGATATATTTTGATTTAGCCCACAACATTGAGAAATCCTGGATGTTTTGTTTCACATGGATATATTCAATCTTTCAGCCATATTTTTATTTTCAACTTTTGGTTTTTGATTTTCTTTTGTTATTAAAATGCATAATATCAGGATATTGATTTGTTAATCTTGAAGATTATTCCTAAACTGAAGCATTGTACTTTGTTATTGGATTAATTTAACATAAGAGCTAAGTATAATATGTGCTAATCACACCTATCTGTAATCACACCTCTTTCTACGGATAGGTGTCCAACATTTTGACTGAAAGCATAATTGGGTTGGGTAGATACATGATACAGATACAGATAGTACTTAGATGGTGGTGTTTTAATTGATATGAGTGAGATTGTGAAACTTCTTCCTTACAACTTGAGTGTTTTCTTATTTTTAGGGTTAGCATCGGACCTTAACATTTAGCAAGAACAAGGTTCAAGAAACATGCCTTCTCAGTCATCCGGTAACAAACTCTTACTTTTTTTAAAATTTTAATTGGCATTTTTAGCTATTGGTTACGTTTATTTATTCATGTTTTACATACTAATTTTTTGTTTTTGTTTTTGTTTTTGTTTCTACATACATTAATATAGGTCTCTTTTTTTAAAGAAGAGAGTTGATTGGGATTGGGTGGAGTTGGCAAATATAGGTATGTTTTTTTTGCCTAGCTAATTGAATTATATAAATCCACTTACCGTTGTAGCAGTAATGTTGGTTTTAAAATGACCAATTATGATGGGAAGTCTCTTTTCAGTTTATCTTAATCAAATGTATATCTATGCAAGAGGATTATGTGATTCTAGATGACGATTCTAGATGAGGATGTTAATGTTAACGTTATGATGATGTTGACGTCAATGTTGACTCTAGTGATGACGACTGATGATGTTGATAATATGTTAATGCATTCAAATTAAGTCCAAACACTTAGAATTGAAAGAAATTTAGAGTTGAAGACATACTATTGAGCATAATGTCTAATTCTTTTAGTTACAAAAATCTTTGGTTACTTCACACACGATTTTTCAGTTCCTGAAATTCTGAAACAATGGTGTGTAATATGATTCATCTAGTTGGGCTCTTTTCTTTTTCATCTCTCTAAACTCTAATTTTATCCATGAAAATGAAAAAGAAGACTCTAGTGTTTACCGTAAATGATTTTAGATGCATATAGACCAAAAAAAAAAATGAAAGGTTTTTTAAATTTTGGGTTGGGCTAGGAAAAAAAGTTTTGGGTTTGGGTTGAGTCCGAGCCCAACTCGAACACGTTTGGGCTTTGAAATTTTCCAACTCGATTTGAGCCCAATTTGTTAATTTAAAGGCCCAAATTTTAAAATTTTCGGGCTGGGCTGGGTTAGCCCGCCAAGTTACACCCCCATTTAAATTTGTTTTGTCAATACTGGAGGCCTAGTCCATTTAGAAATGGGCCTCAAACATGTCTTTTAATTCTACTTGTTTAATAATCCTACAGCTTTGTATGTGGTTGTCGAGTTTGGTCGTGGAGATCATATATGCTGCTCTGGAACATGTGGCTAAGGAGCTTTTGGATTTTCTTTCCTGTTTCTATGGTGCGTTGAGGGTTCGTGGTGAGCACGTAGCATGACACGGACTGGATTCATGTATCGCGCTGTTGAGGGTCAGGAGAGGCTCCACTACGGATCATTGATACAATATTTCCACCTGGTCCAGTCGAAGTTGCACCTCTTCCAGACGTACCACCACCTCCAGTCGACAGTCACGTCCCACAACCACCTCCTCCGGTCGACGGTCACGTCCCACAACCATCACGTCCCACAACCACCTCCCCCGATCGATGGTCACGTCCCACAACCACCTCCTCCGGTCGTCGGTCACGTCCCACGTACACCTCCTCCAAACGTCGGTCATGTCCCACCACCTCCAGAGCCCGCCCAACTCGTACCTGCCATCGACCGCCATCGACCGTCAACTTTCCCAGTTGGCTTTTGAGGTTTCGCAGAAACGTGAAAAGCCGCCATGGCATCGAGGTATTCATATATCTATATATATATATATTTATGCCTGTATATGTGTTCTACATGCATATATTATCAAGTAAACCCACACACACACACACATACACATACACAGTATTAATTTGAAATAGGTATTTAATTTATTTATATATATTTGTGGGTATATTATGTGTCATATATATATATATATATGGGTATACGAAATTCGTGTGATCCAGAGATCGGTCTTTTCGTGAAACTGCACAGGCCATGGTACTGGGAAAAAGTAGGAAAAGGATTGATAGCTGTTTGCAGGCAGAGAGTGGTGGTAATATTACTTGTGTGGCGACGGGGAGTGGGGTCCACTCAGCACAACGACATGCACGTTGTGCACCTTGAATTCCCCCATGTATTACATAAAATCTAAATAAGAGTTGAATAATACAGTATATAGTTTTGGACTTCCTATGTGATAGTTATGGAATTAGGAGCATTGGACCGACAATCTCTATCATTTCAATTCCAACTCGAAATTTTTTATTCAATTTTACTTTTAAAACACTCATTAGCTTCCAAACATAACTTTTTTCATATATATATATATATATATATATATATATTTATATTTGTACTTAACTCACCACTTTTATCTAATTTCTACAATTATATACTATGTATCATCTAATTTCTCCATCATAAAACGCCAACGGTGGGAGTGCAATGGTCAGATGTATGATGAAAATAAAGGCAGTCCTTATTTCCCTCGTTAAGGAAGCAATATACAATGTGCCTGGTACACTATGCAGAGAGCTATCATGACCGTTTATGCCCTGTATAAGACGAACAGCTATGATGTGTCCCATGTACTTACAACACAGATAACAGACGGCAATACTACTCTTTGTTACGAGAGAGTCTTTATTAATTATTATTGGCTTTGGTTGTGGGCCTTTTTTCCAGCAATGAAGTACTGGCCCAATTCGAGATGAACAATTGGGCCATTCTTCTATTCATTCCTGGGGCTGTTTACTGGCTCCCTCTCCGGGCCTTGGTCCTGTATTTCACATGATGTATTATTTTACGGAAACAAATGGATTAAGATAATTTGGGTTAGAGATGGTTAGGGTTTCGTAGCCAGGAGGGTTAGCTACTGTGTCTGGGATAGAGAGGGTTAGCGCTTGTTTGTGGGCCTGAGAGAGTAACTAAGGAAAGATTGAGAGGGGGAGAAAATTTTGGAAGGAGTAATGGACATTTTTGGCTTGCCGGGAAACTTAACTTTTCACAAAAAGATAACCCTATTTTATAAGGGCTCATGCGGGCCTGTTGTAGAAGAATATCCTTTTAGAATGGGCCATGCGGGCCTGTTGTCGAAGAATATCCTTGCCATGCGGGCCTGTTGTAGAAAGCTCTCTCTACAAGGGATCTTTGGCCTGATGTAAAAAATGTGTTGTTAAAAGGCATGTTTTCTTGTAGTGAAGGCCCATTCAGTTAAATAATTAAATGTGCTTTTTTGTAAATACTGGAGAGGCCTAGTCCATTTAGAAATGGGCCTCAAACATGTCTTTTAATTCTAACTTGTTAAATAATCTTGCAGCTTTTTTTGGGGTTCTTGATTTTGTTCGTAAAAACCACATATGCTGCTCTGGAGCATTTCGTCAAGGACTCACATAAGATAATATTAGCTTTTGGGTTTTCTTTACTGTGTCTCTGGATTGTGTTTGACTGAATTTGCGTTGAGGGCTCGTGACATGGACACAGACTGGATTCTAGTATCGCGCTGTTGAGGGTCAGGAGAGGCTCTACTACGGATCATTGATACAATATTTAGGAATCTTCTTTGCTGTGAGGCACTTGTGTATGTCTTTGGCAGACCTGATAATGAAGGTTCAAAGGAAAAAGACTCAGCGTCACTTTTCAGTATTTCCTCTGATAGGTGTTACGATACACATGCTTCTTGTGACTCTCGGTCACAGTGGCCGCCATGGCGAGGACCCACCTGTTTGGCTTTTGGCTCATTGACATTGGCGAGGAATAGTAGCTATATGTTTACTTTGTTTAGTTGTTTATGTACATACTCTTTGAAACTCTTATATGTTTGAAGCTATTTCTTTAATTTGGTACACTGTTAGAAACTCTTATATGCATGCAACTATGACATATTATTCTGTTGTAAATGTGTGTTTGTGTGTGTTTTTTTTTTCTTTTTCCCTTTTTAAAGCTTTCTCTCATTGCCATATTTATATTAGTCGAAAACCATGATATGAAGAAAATGTCAATGAGCTCATTTTAAGTTTATCATTAATTAATAAGACTTATGATAAGTTACAAATGATATGAAATCAAGTATTGAATTCAAGGCACCAATCTCTATGGTTATAATTCAACTCCAATACAGGCAATTTGGATAATTTATTTTTTCCTAATTGGGGACTCACACACACTGCCTCCACTGACTCTTGACCTTCTTTTGAAAAGTAGGAACCTTATACCGTTAAGTTACAGGTCTGTTGGAGATAATTTTTCAATATCTCCAATTATCAAAATTTCTGTAGATTTGCAAGACTACGGGCAACACCCATGCATGTTTCTGCCATTGTTCCAAGTGATCAGAATTTCTAAACTCAAGGAAAGCTTAGGCAGATGATAATCGCAGTCTCCCCAGTATTAAGCCCTTGAACCTCTTCCTAGCAAAATTCAATACTAGGTATTATACATTCAATAAGCATCCTAGTAGCAGTACAATTTGAAAGTTTAAGCCCAAAAGGAGCAAAGTGAGAGTTTCTTTTTAATGGAAAAAAAAAATTAAAAAATGCAATAAGAATGATTAGTACTTTTTCACCTTTCAAATTAGAAAGTATGAAGATTTAAATTCTAAAGAAGCAAAATGGGTATGTGGGTATGTTTATTTTCACTAATAAAAAAAATATCTATGTGCATGCATATTTATTTATATATATAGAGAGAGAGATAGATATATGTCCAAATAGATCGATTTTGTAATTGGCTCGTTATGTTTTTTTTTTTTGGTTTTTTTTTTAGTATTAGGACTCTACCATTAGATTAGCTCACTTTTTTACGAGTGTGAAAAAGAGTTCTAATTTAAAAAGTTAGAAAGTTGTAATTTAATAGGAGTCCTAATTAATCTAAGAAAACTCACTTATTTCATGAGTCTAAAAAATAACAGAGAGAAAGAAGTGGCCATCACAAAAAATTACAACATAATGAAATAGGGGCGACTCAATATGATTTGAGACTTTTGGCAAAAATTATAAAAATGAACTTTTAATATCTAATATATTAATAGTAAACAATAATAAATAATATTTATTTAATTATTTTTTTTCCTCTCTTGTGACGGATCATTCAAGCCAAAACTGCACAAATAGGAAAAGCTTGAAAATTTTTTTTAAAAAAAACTCGGGCATTCGCTCAATACAAGCATGACAAGGCTTTGAAAAAACACAGGAGAAACGAAAATTGTCAATTGTCATTGAGAATTAAACAAACTTAAAAACATTTAGTTTTGAACTTTAAACAGCTATCAATCATAAGAGAACCTTGGAAATTCATCTCTCTCATTAACGGGCAGTGACCTAAGAGTATCAATCTCTCTTACTTTTTAAAGGAAGGTCAGAAATTTAATTCTCAAAAGAGACAAGTGTGTATGAGAACTAATTAGAAGAAAAAAAAAAAAACAAAAAAAAATTCATCTCTCTCAACAAAAAAAAATTCAACCCTCATCTACCTTCACTAATCCCACAATTACTAGTGTAATACATATTCAATAATTCATACCTGTAATGAAATAGGAGAAAAAACTTTAATCTTAGAATGAATGAATAATTTTAGTTATAATTAAGGAAGTCGATATTCACATTACCCTTTTCTACACTTGCATTTTACTTGACTCTTTTTTTTTTCCTAAACTAAATAACAAGAAAGGCCCTAAATTCATTAATGCAAAATTTGTAATACCAGAACTACCCTTTATAGCAAGAAAAAAAGAGCAAAAATTTCTTCCTCAATTAAAGAACATGAAGAGATGGAACTCTGTTTCTGTCCTATCTTTGCGTGGGTTAGGGGAAAGAAATAGCAGACCATTGATCTGGCCTAGCCCAATGGGCAATGAGTCTTCTTTAAACTTTTTAAAATATATATATAGGCTTCGGAGTAACAAATGGTCGAGCAATCTCAATCAAAGACTAGGTCCACGAGCTTCAATCAAGAAAATTCTAATCAGAATAAAGCGTGTGAGGCCCTAAGAAAACTCCAATTCAATTTTGTAGCGATCAACGCAGATGTTACCAAGTATTTTCTAAGCTTCACCTCAACCGATCCAACAAAATGGCCTTTTTAAATTGGACTTTCTTACATGTTAGGCTCCGGCCAATATCTTCCGTACCAGAGTAAGAATCTCATAATAAAATTCATCTCATCCAACATTGATTATGTTCTATATAAAAATTCAGATTCCACTCAATTCAATTAAAGCTTGGTTCAAACTCATTTGATAAACAAGCCGAATAACCCAAGTTGAAAACATGTCCATGAATTGGTATTTATGAACAAATTAGATAAGGTTTGTTATGTACATTTGTTTATTAGGAAATATTTGAATTTATAAATATATTTTTTTTTCTCCTTAGCAGTTTTGATTTTCAACTCAATTTTAAACCGGAGCTCGAGATGAGGCTCAAGATTTAGTAAATGAGTTAAAATAAGTAATATTTGAGTTGAGTTTCAAATACTTAAATTAAACTTCAACTCATTTGCAATCCTAATATTATCAATTTCAATTGAAGATAATTTTTTTCAAGATCATGTCAGGTGTGTTTGCTTGATATTTTGAAAAATAAGAATAAAAATACAAAGTAAATAATGTCAAAATTTAGACAATATCCAGTCTGCCCACTAATATCCTGGATAAAAATAGTCTTATTAGTAATATTAGGTGTGTGTTTCCACTTTGTTGTTTTTGCTTTAAGGATCGAACTGCAGCGCATGTTTTTCCAAATTTCCAAAATTATTTTATTAGATATCTAATCTTCATTAGAATGAAACTAACATAAATTAGCATATAGAAGTTTCTACTAATTAGTAGTATTTTATATCGTACAGAAAATTAGTACAGAAAATTAAGTAATGGGATCGAATTTTCTTCTGATAGAAGTCCGAAGTCAACAGTCAAAGCCGTGCAAACGCGTCTATGACAAAACAAAGTCACCCAATTATTTGTGCGTTTATAACGCGCACGCTACAAAACTCCTTTCCCATATATCACCAAACAACCACCAGTCACCACCTCCAACCACCACCACCACCACCACCACCACCACCACTCAGCCATGGCTGAGAGAAAAGAGCAGGTGAAACCCTTGGCGCCGGCAGCCTACCGGATCGACTACATCAAAAACGAAGACGAAGCCTTGTCCATGGAGCTGAAGAAATACCGCCACAAGAAATACATCAAGTGCTGCGGATGCATCGCGGCGTTATGTTTAATCCAAGTTGTGATCATATTAGTTCTTATTTTCACGGTCTTCCATATCAAAAATCCTAAGATGAGGATCAACTCTATAAGATTTGAAGGTTTGAGCAACCTTTCCAATAGGTCTGCCAACGTCACACTTATTGCTAGCGTCTCTATTAAAAACCCAAATGTGGCGTCCTTCAAATTCAGCAACGCCACCACCACTGTCTACTACCACGGCGAGATGGTGGGGGAAGCTCGGAGTCCGGCGGGGCACGTCAAGGCGAGGCGGACGCTTCGGACGAACGTCACGGTGGATATAGAGATCAAGAAAATGAAGGCAATTCCAGGGCTAACGAGTGATCTGAGTGACGAAACATTGGAGATGAGTGCCTATAGTAGAATCAGTGGGCGGGTTAAGATAACCAGTTTGATTAAGAAGGATGCTGTGGTGAAAATGAATTGCACCATGACAGTTAATGTTAGAAACCAGCAAATTCAGGATCAGAGGTGCAGGCCACATGTTTCGATATAGGATTATTATTATTATTTTTTGTTTGTTTGTACTTTAAGGATGAGATTTCCAGTTGAATATGTATAAGAGTAATGTCATGTTCTGTAAGTATGGAATTGATGTATGGGGAAAAAAAAAAAAAAAATTGTTCAATTACATACTACCGAACATGACATAAGTATATATATAGATTATTGTCAAGAGATGTAGATAAAAAGATCTATCATTTCTGGCTATAAAATAGTTTCTATTTCATGATTATTTTATTTATTTACTTTTTTTTTTGGTATAGATGATTGTATTTGTTGAATTGGGGTTCTTGTGATTTTCAGTGAAGTGGTTTATATCTGATTAATCCTTGAACAGGTTCTTGTAATATAGACGTGTTCCCCCAATTCCCATATGTGGTCTAGGATTGCCTCAGTTTCAGCCTAACCTGATAAGAAAAAGGGAACTCCCCCAATCTTCTTGGGACCACGCACCGCAAATTTTTTTCGATAATTATTCAGTGCACAACCCTGTGGTCCATTATGAATTATGAAATGTTATAAGAGTCCGAGCATCTCGTTGACGAAAAAAAAAACCAAAAAACAAAAAGGAAACTCCTTGAAAAGGTTTAAACTTCAAATCAAGATATTCAGATTGCAAAGAAGCTGTTATATGTATACATAAAGCCTCTGCACCAATTGCTTTAGCCTGCTTTAGCAAACCAAGTGGCTCATTGGTGGCTGCTGAGTCTATAAAATCCCCCTCAGATTCTCAGCTGCTTGAACTATATACATATATATTTATATATTCTCGTGTAGGTCCCAATCCTACTCGATAACATTGTATTGCAATTTGCAAACGATCCAACTTTGAAATTGTTTTGCACAAATAACTGTAAAAGATTCGCATTTGGGACATATCAATTAAAACTTAATAAATTTATAATTATATATTTAAGTGTGTTCGCTTCTTAGTATATATATATATATATATATTTGATTCGCTTCTTAGTACACTCATCAATGTGAAATGAGTGCTGAGAAGTGATCCCATAAGGCCCCAAAATAAGGTCCTCCCGCAACCATTATCTAGAAGGTTGGAATGAAAGTAAATGGGATATATCAATGTGGTACCCACTTTGAATTTAATGCACCATATATAGTCTAGCACAAGTCAATTATTATTATTTTTTCTTTCCCCACTTTCAGTCATCACCATACATGCATTTGTAAATATTGCAATACGTGTGATGCACTAACATTCTACACGTTGAAATATGAAATTTATATACGAAATTTCCTCTATAAGAGGGGATTCAGATACGGGTTTAAAATATAAACATAATGATACTTGTGGATTCATAATCTTCGTTTTAATTTTCTAGTGGGTAACTATTGGCAAGATCATACTTGCTTTAATCTGGCTTTCTACTATTATAATTTTAACTAATAAGTCAACAGTCAAATGCTTCTACTTTGAAGTTTGAACCTCCAATGATTTCATGCAACTAATCTGACATTGAAATTGTAGAAGCAGGCCCATTAGAAAACTAACGGGCTTAGGGCTAAAACTCCAGCCCAAACACTTTTTTGGTAGCCACACCGAGGCATCCAAGTTACACTTGACTTACAAATTTGGCAACTTAATTTGACACGAATGTAAATTGGACCACATAGACTTAGAAAGTTATCAAACACTTTTACTCGTGTACTCTCACTCCACCAACCAAGAGTCAAACGTAGAACTCACTCCCATTTCACTTTGATTTTAAAGGAAGTCACTACTACATGCATGTGCACTTTTTTGCAGTCGCGGTATTAATCATGATCATGATTATGATGTAACGGATTTGGATAAATATTAGTGTAAATTCATCGAACTGAATAGTTCATGAATGTATGTAAATGTATTAAATTCTTAAAAAATAATTACAAACTGAAAAATACGTCGCGTATCGATTGACACGGAAAATCAGGTATCATATACACGGTAGCATGTAGGTATGTATTGAGCTCGAATCATCTGCTGTGTATATCAGTCATAACCAAAGACGAATCCAGGAATATAGATTGAATCTATTTTTAACACATTAAAACTACTCATTTCAGTGAGATTTCAATTGTTGAAAATCAAAATAAATGTATTAAAACGTAAAAATAAATTTGTAGATTTAATGTGTTGACAAAATACGGATGCTGGTATTGGTATTGTCAACTATATATATACATATACCTGATGTGAATATAGAAGTGGGTAATTGTGATGGTTCATGCACCAGTAAATGGTTAATTTGGCAATTAACAATGCCAGCTTAAACTACGCTACCATGAATGATTAGCATAATTGCTGAACAAAACTTTCATGCATGTAACCAACTTTTTGGAAGGTTTGAGACGAGACATTGTTCAGATGTGTCAAAATGGTCCAGTAGAGAATCTTAATTAGAGATTTTTATTCGGTTGAATAAAGTCAAAACTTTGATGTTATCCAATTCATTCTGAGAATAAAAATTTCTTTGTTATGATTCTCTGTTGAACTATTTGATATAAATAGTATTGTCCTTAAAAAAATTATAATACTACGTCAGTAAAGACTAGTGAAAATGATGTGCTTGCCAAGCTGGTGATTTAGCCTTTCTTTTTTTTTTTTTCTTTTTTTTTTTTCAATTTCATGTAGAGGAAAAATAATGTTTTGTTTTGGTGTAATTAATTCACAAACAAAAACATGTTTGGTAATTATTTATTCCACACGTGTTTCCAAAATAAAGAATGAAGAAAAAAGATGCTTAGATGATTGTTAAAAAAAACAAAATGATATTTAGTTATTAAGCTCCAATAATACAAATAAGTAAAAACATTTTATTCTTGCCTTTTTAGACGGTCGAACTTTTTTAGCGAAGCAAATGGGGTACCATGCCGAAGTAACAGAATGTAAAAAAATTTGTCAAACATGCTTTTGCTTCTTGTTTTTGTTGTTGTTACCAATTTGACAACAAAAATATATATGAAAAAAAACAAAAAATAAAAATAAAAATAAAAATAAAAATTCCAAACAGACCAGTAAAGATGCGACATGCTTAGTTGAATTATTTATACGGAAGTCTGAGCACAAATGCAGATTCTTCTGCACTTCTGAAAAGTTTTACTCCGTAGTCAATTATATTGGATTGTGATATTAGGAAAAATAAAAAAAATAAAAAATAAAACTTTTAAACTAAATATGAAAGAGAAACATAGTTATTGCAGACTTATTACAAATCTCATGTTCTTTTTCCAATAACTCCAATTTGATTTGACTTAGACCCATTTTAATGAAAAAGAACATAATATTTGTGGTAAGTCCGATTTTGTTCTTGGAATTTTTCCAGGTCACACACATATTTGGAGATGATACTTCTACATATAATATAACATATCTCTTTTCACCTAAATGCGGAATTGTGCAACAGAACCTGTCTCACATGGTAATCTGTTAGTGACTCGCACCCGTCCACATAAATAGCTCTGTATTATGAGAACAATGTCAATATGATAATTTTACATAGTACTATATATGACAATCTCAGTCCATTTTCTTCTTCTTTGTTTTTTTGGTTCCAAAATATTTGTCCAAAGGAATTAAAGTACATGTATGGATACTTTTTAATTTTTCAAAAAGTTCCACAATAATTTGAGCATTTCAAAAGGGAAAAATTCACCTTTACAGGGTTAAAATAGGAAAATAGACTGATAAGTTGCAAGGGAAAGAGTATGATATCAGCTTTGGATGGATCATTTTAGATACAGAGATCTGAATCTTCTTCCATTTTCACATAAAGATAAGCTAAATAAGAACTTTACAGGCCAAATAAATTACTCAGGTGGTCATCATCACTAACATCTAACCCATACTTTCTTCTCTTTTTAAAACGTCTTTTCTTTCACGAAGAACAAGGCTTAAAGTAATAAGAATATCTGAAAAAGACTACAAACTTTTTCTCATCAACGTACACTTCTTTCTTTTTTCCCCATTTTAGGTGATCCCTACAAACTCAAGCTCCGACCACCTCAAATGTTGTCTCTTTACCTTCCTCCTGCGAAGAATCTGTTCCCAAAACAACAAAATTTAGTACTTTATATATATATATATATATATATATAAAGATTATGTACTCACATTTGAGGTGGTGTCATAACACAACTGTAAGATTGCTTTTCCATGTGACAAGGAGATTACAAGTCAGAAACGGTAAAGTTGCTTCCTTCCCAATGTGACATGAAGGTTAAGACTTAAAACGATAAGATTTCCAATGTGACATGGAGGTTAGGGTTAAAATGGTAAGATTGTTACACATGTAAGTTACAGAATAGAAACAGTGAGATTGTTACATTATCTCAATGTGACGTGGAAAGGTTAAAGGTTACAAAGATTGGTAAGATTTTAATTTGCATTATTACGTAAAGGTAATCGTAGCACCATGCATATGTATTTATATAAGGTTGCTGTATTACATAGTATAACTAATTTGGGTTAATGTTTAAATATTAGTATTAAAAAGAAAATTAAATTAAATTAAATTGAGATAATGTGAAAAATATGGTATACCTCTAGATGCTTTGAACGATTTCTTGCAGTGTAAAATGGCGCTTTGTATGCCATCTTGTTGCTGCAGCAGCGAATCGTCTCGACGTCTTGACGTAACAGGCTCCGACGCCGGCGTCGGCGCAGCCGCCACCACCGACGACGCAGATCGGCTTTTCCCTAAATGCTTACGCACCGCGCGCAGTCCCGCCGGCACACTCACCTGTTTCTGACTCTTCACATTGCACGGCGGCGATTGTCCAGAAAACCGCAGCTTCTCCCCGTACCGTTTCGAAACACGAACGTAAAGAGGTTTAACGATCTTCAAGTACCTCTGCTTCACTTCTTCAGAGAATCTCTTGTCATGATCAGAAGCCGATTTGTCGCCGGACTCTTCAATTTTTAAATTACCGGTGAGGAACTTGCTCTGTGAATCTAGATTTTGTGCCGCTTGTTTCGGAGTGCCCGGAGCAGAGACACTGAATTTCGATTTCTTGAGTTTCAACACCATGGCTCGAAACTTGGAAGCTGATTTCAGAAGAGACGCTTGAAATTGTGACTTGGAGTTTGAATCAGAACCGTTGAACTCCATCGATGAAGGCGTGAACTCAAAATCTGTCTCATCATTCTCACCGTCCGTTTCTTCGGACTCAAAATCGTCTTCTCTCTCTTCATCTCCATCCTCTACGCTGTTACTTCCCTTATCGTCTTCCTCGTCCGGTTGAGTAAACTCCAAATCAATATACGGTCCGTCATCATCGTCTTCTTCATCAGTCTTAGCCGTCTGATCATGACTCACCGTTGTTCTGACAACCGTCGTAGAAGTATTAGTGGTGTTGGTGTTGGTGTTGGTGTTGGTGGAACGCACATTTGCACCGCCGTGGAAGGCGGCGACACCACCACCTTTCCAGTGCTTGAGCAAGGTAAAAGCTTCCATATTTGGTTGGCTAGTGGAGGAGGAAGAGCCACAAACAAGTAAAGTAAGTTGGGTTGTGTCTTTTCCTTTGTTAAAAAATGAGAGAGTTTGTTTAATGGTGAAAATGGGTTGTGTCAAGCTTTATTTTTGTCTGTTTTTGGAGACGTGGTTGCAGAAATAGTGAAGACCAAGTCTGTGCGTCAGATACGACTGTACTATAATTTATAGTGAGAGAGATGGTGTAGCCACATCCATTAATAGGGAGAGAGATTGACACATATTTCTGTTATTTCTGTGAAGTCACTTTTTTAAACAGTTAAAATTGAGTAAATTTATAGTAAAATACAGTATTTTTATTTTTATTTTTATTTTTATTATTATTATTATTTTTTTACCGTATTACCATCTTCGTCCAACATTAATTGTCACCTTCAAAAAGAATCGTGACTCACATATTTGTAAGTTATGGTTTTCGGAGACGATGATTAAAATAGAGCAGAGGAAGTATTTTATTTTATTTTTTCAAAATACTTAAAAAGTTGTTTCCAATATACATATATATATATATATGTATATATATTTATCCTGGTAATGTTAGATACTACTATGTTGGTCCATGGGGAAGGGGGGAATGATGGTGGGAGTCAAACCAATAAAAACATTTGTCAATAATATATATTTTTTATATTATTATTTCATTGATTTCATTTTTGTATTAAAATTTGATGTATATTATAGGTAAATTATGATTCGTTGTATTGGTCGATATGACAAGTATCGCTTTGTTCGTAATTTTTTTTAAACGTTTGATACTGTTATATACTTACATAAAAAAGTTGATTTGACCAATTTACATCGATATTTACTTGAATTTATCAGTGAGTGACCGCGATTGCAAACTATGATATAAATGGAGTTCAAATTATCCCCATTGACATGCATTCTGTTTAATGTTGAGATGAGAGACTCGCTGATGAGTTGATCACATATTTTTCAATACACCAACACAGCAATAAATGAGACTCACTATTGTACAGATGTCAATTTTTGTTTCAATGCACCGCAAATATAGATGCACTGGAAAGAATTTTGCATTATGTAAATTTGTGTTTGTCTAAGAACTGTAATTGTAACAAATATGACATTGCTTTAGATTTCTCAAATTTTCTGACTATCTCTCGAGTCGTTGTAGGTGGAATATATTTCAATTTTAATTTTCTCTTTTTGAACGCATGTGAACAAAATTTGCTAGCGTGTCCATCAATTTTAAAATTTTAAATTACATTTCGTTAATTTGTTACACTATGTTTAACCAGTGATTCGTTCATGTATAGATTGCTAAAAATTTAGTAGTAAGATAATACAAAAAAATATGAAATTAAATCAAATAAGACAAAAAGAAAAAATTAACAATATAATTAATAAAACCTGACAAATCAAATTGAAGTGGGTTCAAATTCAGTTTAATTTGTAAATTCCCACACATCAAAATGGAACCCTAAAGCAAGCTAACAAAATCCAAATAGAGTCCCAAACATGAACTGAAGTGAAGCAGATAGATTTCCAACCATAAAGTAAATGAACATAACTTGGGTTTTGGTTAAATTGACAGTTCATAACTTTATTAGGGAGAAGGGGACAGGTTTGGTTTAATTGTGGGTTAGTGTAACGTAACCAAAGCCTAAGGTAAAGAACTAGAGGCTAAGACTTGACACTATGGTTAATGGTTAAACCCTCCAGGTCCAAGTCCGTACTTCACTTTTCTTGTTGCAGCCGAAAATAAGTGGCTACAACAATACTATAGCTTCCCATGCATAATGCCACTGACATCAAAATCATTTTCCCGCGCAAAATCACGGTGATAACTCGTACGTGTAAAAAAACACCTAAGAATTTGATCGTTTATACTTAAGTGTGGAAGGTTGATAATTATTTCATGTGGTACAATATCTTGGTGTGCACCACAAAAGATCCCAACTCAAAACTTTGTGAATAAGAACGGATTCAGAAATGCATAATAGAATTAACTAATTTATTTTGTGATGAACTAATATTTTTTTAAAAATTGGACTAAAATCATAATGCCACCGACATCAAAATCATTTTCCCGCGCCAAATCACGGTGATAGTTCGTACGTGTAGAAAACACCTAAGAATTTAATCGTTTATACTTAAGTGTGGAAGGTTGATAATTATTTCATGTGGTACAGTATCTTGGTGTGCACCACAAAAGATCCCAACTCAAAACTTTGTGAGTAAGAATGGATTTAGAAATGCATAATAGAATTAATTAATTTATTTTGAGATGAGCTAATACTTTTTTAAAAATTGGACTAAAATTACCTCTAAAATTTTTTATTTTATTTTTTTTTGGGTGGGCTCAAGTCCATCCGAACCCACCCTCCAGTCGCCCTTTTTTGTGAGTAAGATGTCACGTCAAAATGACAAAAATCAAACTATTGCTTATTTAACAAGTGAAATAACAAGTGAAACAAGTCCGAAATAGATATGCAACTTATTTAAGTTGGAAATAAAATTAGTAGTACATACTTCAAAATAATAATATCAGTATCAAGAAACAGTGAAGGTTAATTAATTTGAATTTTGAAAAATGAAGTCGATGACGTGGCAGACATGCCAAGTAGGGGTAACAAAACATTTCATTGAATGGGGTCCATAAAAGTTTTTGACCTTCAATCACCTTGAATTCAACGTAACTGGTTAATCTCAGCCGTTCCTTCCATTCTAGGGATTCGTTCATGAAAGACGGTAAAGACTCATCGCACATGAAAGAAGGTAAAGACTGCTAGGAACATGTGGTCGGGGTATGGGTATTTCTAAGTTTAAACGGGGCAGTAAAAAATGTACCACAATCTGATAGCTGTGAAAATCTGACATTTTGAGTGTTCGGATTATATAATTTAGATATTTGTATTTGTTTGTTATCAAAGGATAATAGTGCATAGTGAAAAATTATCATGTGAGCAGCCATTACATAATCTTGGTCGATTACAACTCGATAAGTTATTATATATTTTAGAAATTGCATGGTCTTGATTAATTGTAATTGGACAGTAACCAAAAATCTAAAGAGAAACATATGTATTTACATAAAGACTTGTAATTGGTCGAGATTATGTAAATTTTTTATCTTATATATAGTTAAAACTTTATGTGAAATCAAACTATTCAAAGATTGTCCCCACTGTTACAATAGTTAAGACATCGAAAAAATTATTATATGATTCCAACCAATCGCATGATGATATGTAAACAAATACATTAATTTTGAACAAATACATCAATTTGGTGTCAGTTTTATTTCACTTTTATTTGCATGTTACCATGTAATTGGTGGGACCAATGATTCCAAAACTATACTTGACGGTTGGCTACTGCTCCCCTTTGAAAAAATAGTTGGCAATTTTCATATAAGTTCTGATAATTTTGGTGCATTAATCTCTGGCCCGGCTCAAGTCCAAAATTCCAAATGTCAATCGATATCGCTGGGCTTAGTCCTTGAACCCCGGGTAGGCCCATCAGATATCTCGTAAACGGCAGTTATGTTTAAAGTCCGCAAACTCCCGAATTTCTTTTACATCTTATTTAAAGAAAGATCAAATAATACCAACTCAATTTCACTAAGTTGATGAAACGAACTTAATTGGTGTATAGCATTATTTGTACTCAGTTTGTAATACACCAAGAAGTAACCAGACCAAAGATCTCAAATCCCGTAGTTAGGCGAACTTGGGACTTTTGAGTCAATCATCATTTGATATGAAACAAATATATGTAAAATTTATTTAATTTTTATTTAGATGTTAAATGATGATTGACTTAACTATATCTATAACTTATTGATTATCACATGGCCAAATATGCTTCACCATTTATTTATTTATTCCGATAATTTCATCACTTTATTTATTTTTGTTTTTCCTATTCTACCAATATAATAGCAATACGTACAAAACAAAAAAGTTTAAATACACGGCAAAAAAAGTTCAACTCACAACCTAACTAATCATATCAACTCACAACCTAACTAATCATATCAAAGTCAATAGCTTGCTCTCACAATATCATAGATTCATAGACAATATTAGAACACTAAAGACCTTAAAAATATCTTCTTCTTTTTTTTAAAAAAAAAAAAAAAAAAAGTGTCTAACATCATTCTATTTCAAATTTGTGGAAACAAGCTTAAACCATTGTTTTGTTGGGTCATCTGTGCACCTTGGAACATCTTCAAGTGCATTTCCTAAGCAAAGACACTTTTGAGTCAAAATTGTTGAATTCGCAGAGTTCCAATCTAAACACAAGGACTTCCCTTGTCCATCTTGAGCAGCTAAATGAAAGCCGGACTTAGAAACCGGTTTCCAAAGACTCCGTTGGCTCGAGCAATTGTTCGACAGAGTCACCGGAAGCCCCTCACCGGCCACATTTAGACACCCCGTAGAACCCAATAGCCTTATGGGACTTCCATTGCCATTTCCACTGTAACTCCATCGACTCCACTTCTTGCAATCCCCGGCGAAGACATTGTTCTTGTCCACGTGAACACATAGGCCGCTCTTTGGATGATGCAGTATGAAGTAATATGGATATTTTGAATTTGGTTCTGCATTCGAAAAATGGAAATAATATATTAAAAATACAATTAATATAGTATGATGCAACGGAAATTATGAACGACCTGAAATAACAATAAGTCAGTTTTGAAATTACAAAGTTTAACTAAATGCAATGCGACTATGTTTGGCAGGCGAGTAATTGGAGTTTTGAAATTAAAATTGGTACAACTGAAAAAAAAGTATCTCACAAAATTAAACAGAAATTTTCACCAATTCCAATCCAAGACTTCAATTATATGCCGCCAAACACAGCTTACAGTTTTTTTAACTAAGAAACCTAACTGTGTAATAAGAAAACATAAAATGAAGCTCAAAATGACACTATTTTTAAAACTTACAAAAATGGAGATGAAATTTAATCACCAAAAATTACTACATAAGTGCAACGAAGTTGTGAGTAATGATTGTTGAGTTTTTCATCGGAAATGGGTTTCAGCACACACACGTTGATAGTCCAAACGGATAATAAAAGCTCCGATAATAAATTCTACATCAGTTATGTATTACGTTCGGACTAATAGGCACGAAAACAAACATAGTTTGACCATAAAAGCAATTACTTTGCGTGTATAATGCCTATGGTGTAGAAAATTTAAATTTATCCTTACTTTTTTCCTCCCAATATTCGATATTTTAGGCATTACTCAATAAATTAGTTGGTAAAGTGTCTAGCCCCGAGAGGGTCTACTCAATGTTCAAGGCTACCCTCTCCTAGTTGGCCGGGGAAAAAAATAAATTAGCCTTTTAAGTTGACTCCATGGTTTAGAAAGTATGTAGAATTGAATTGAGTGAACTATACCTTGGGTCATCTGTTTTATGAGTTGCAACCTCTGTGGAAATGAAGCATTTCTAAGATTAACCCAATCTTTATCAAACATGCCATAGGTCTCCTCCTCATTAAGTTTCCCTTGCCTGAGAATGGTGCTTCCTTGCAAAGTCCACAAAGCCCAATCAATATCTTTATCTGCCAAATATGCCAATGCACAAGTGAAATACCTGTTCTCAGCCTCATTAAGCCCTCTCTGATCAGCCCCAAATTCACTCACCCACAGAGGAAACGGGTTCAGGTTGCTGATCAAAAACCCGGTCTGCCCCACGAACCGTCCGGTCCGATTTGCACAGTACTCATTTGTTTGGTACATCCATTTATCAGTAGGGTCACCAAATGAGTACCAATGTGCCTCAAACACCAACTTGCTGGTAAAATCCACTTGAAAAGGCCTTTGCTTTAGGAAGTCGAGATTGGTGTCATAAGCTAACCCTGAAACAACCACCAACACATCTGGATTCTCTCTGTGAATTGCCATTGCACCTTGCTGCATGTACTCATACCAAACGCTTGAATTCTGTCTTGAGCCTCGTAGCTCATTTCGCAGGCTCATTCCCACAACCTATGCATACATATATATATATATATACCCAATGTCGCAAAAATTAACAGAAAAAACAGAACAAGAACATAATGATGAAGAACCGCAGAAGATTTAGGTTACATAACCAGTGAAGCTAAGGTGTACAGTATTATCAAACTCCACAGTTCGTCTATCTATTATGTCAAAATTAGATCTTATAGCAGTGACAACATTAATTAGAGGAAAATTTAATTATATAAAATGAAATTAACAAACCCCATGATTACCCTTGTAGTGTTTGGCTATTGTAGTCAAAATTTAATTATATAAAATGAAATTGACATACCCCATGATTACCCTTGTAGTGCTTGGCTATTGTAGTCAAGCCTTGCAACCAATCCTTGGGATCAAAATCCATGTCCCCAAAAAATCCATTTCCATCAGTATCAGCACAGCACCATATTGGCAGGCTAACATGGTTGTCTAGTATGACCATGACCTTGTGTTTGCCAAGCTTATCAACCACAGCTTGTTGGGCATCAATGAGTTTGAGGCTCAAAAGTTTAGGATTGTTGAGACCAACACCTGCAATAGCATCTGTTAGGTTCCATTGCTTGAGAGACTGAGCAACAGTTATGTTGGTATTGCCGGGCTTTGTGAGCATATAGGTAGCGTACGAGAGACGAACGCAATTGAACCCCATTGAAGACACATTTGCTGCAAGGACTTTGATGGGCCTCTTGTCAATGCCCTCCGGCACCATGGCGTGCAGGTGGCCGGACCAATTGGCGCAGGTCAGCTTCACGCGACGGCCGGACTTGTCCACCACCCATCTTGAGCTTGTTGACAGAGGCCATGAATGGGAGAGAGTTACAGACAGGAAGAGAAAAGTTGGGAGGATGGTGTGTGACAGGTTTTGTAATTTCATCTTGTGAAGAGACCTCAAATTGAAGCAGCAGATACAACAATGAAATTGTTATGTGTGTACAAAATTCACTGTTATTTATTAGCCTTCCAGTACTTGAGATATTTAGGGAAAACTATGTTTGGTGGGTGTAACAGAATCTTTGGTGTAACAGTAAACATCACGGACTTTTTATTCCATCCCAGATTTGTATGGTGAAAACTTTTTTTGTATTAATTATCAGCATCATTATTCATAATAGAGTAATTCAGTGAGCATGGTTGAATTTTCATTTTGCATCATCTTTTCAGATATACGGTTCATTTACACTCTTTCTACCTACTATTTTAAAAAATGTGCTCATCTCTTAAGAGGTCCTCTAACGAAGAAGAGTAATGAGCGCTCTAATTTTTTAAAGCTAGATGTATTAAATAACTAATTTGATTGTTTACACATTTCAAAAAAAAAAAAAACCTGTTTTATCCGATGATTAAATAAGGAGAGTTCATGACTCTTTTTTTACGAGTATTACTCTTTATCTAATGTTACCAATGTATAAGTATGGTCTATTTTACACACTCTCCCTACTTACTATTTTCAGAACGACCATTATCTAACGTTACCATTATATAAATACTGTTTATTTTACACACTTCTTACCCACCATTTTCAAAAAGCTTTACATATAGCCGACATCAATTTATTACTATTAGAAGACTGATACTTGAATGATATTAATATTGGCTTCTTTCGCAGGTTTAGAACAGAATTCTTAGCAAGATCAAACAATGACAAATAACCTTCATTTCTAATGTTTTGTCATATTCCTAACTACGAATCTGACATATTACTAGCAAAAATGTCTGCTTCTCTTAAAACTAAAAAAAGTCATGATATAGTTGTTGAGAGACGATTCGCTCCTCCTCCAAATTTTACCTATGGTTTTTTACCTAAGGTAACATTTGAAGTAGCGATGTAAATATGTAATTCATGTGAGTGTACAGAATTGTGTTTTAAAATAATTAGATATATTTTCAACACGTTAATAAAACCTTTAATTTTCAACTCCCCATATTGCTTAAACTTCAATTCAACATACATAAAATGTATTTTCGTTGACAAATTGATGACTTAATTTGTGAAAGCACAAGACAATATTTATCAAAGTGAGAAAACAGTTTTTTTTTTTAATTGGATTTTCTTTTAAATTTTGCTATTCATATGACAGTTTTTCAGAACACACTCAAACCAAACAAATTTTCAAATTTTGTTTTAAACATCAAAGCTAAAGAAAAAAGGGTTAACGACGACGACACTCAAACAATTGCTATATTAACAGGTATATATAAATTAGCTATTTTTTTAAACAAAGAGAAAAGTTTAATAAAGTTAACAAAACACCTCTTAACACCATCTGTACCCTGACACATAATAAAATGATTATTTTACCCTTTGACTTGTCAATTAAATTATTAAGATTTTGAAATTACAAAGTTAACCTTCTAACTAATTTTAATTAACCAAACTTGCCACATCACTATAACCGTATACATACACCGAATACATATATGTGTGTGTCTATATATATATAGAGAGAGAGAATGAGAGAAGAAGAGGGTGGTTGGCTGGTTGCCCCTGGCGGCACACCACCATAGCTACCATCACCATACCACCATATCCACTATCACCATACCACCACCTCCACCAATTCCTCTCTCTTTACCTTCTTATCTTCACAGTGCCTCCACACTCACACCCACCACATCACAGCCCCACCACCACCACCACATCACAACCCCACCACCACCACCACCACCACCACCTCATAGCCCCGCCACCACCATTTCACAACCCTGCCACCACTCCACAGCCCTTCCACACCTGCCGCCACCACCACATCACAGACCCGCCACCACTCCACAACCCTGCTACACCCGCCACCACCACTTTACAACCTCGCCGCCACCACATCACAGCCCTGCCACACCCACCACCATCCCCACTCCACAACCACACCACACCACCACTTCGAAGACTCAAACTTTACCTTCACAGTACCACCACACCCACCACCATCATCGATTACGAATTTGCAGGAGCCCTAGCCGAATTAGGGTTTTAGTTCCCCAAATGCAACACCAACCAATCTGGTCAATTCATCGAGATTCGATTGTGTACCAATTCAGGAGTATTGGTGAAGAGCTTGACGAAGATGGATTGGTGTGTGTGTATAGACAAGATTACTTGAACTACGCAAGGAGGATTGGTGAAGAGCAAAAATTTTTGGCTTTTTTTTTTTGAAGCAGAGGATAGAGAGAAACCTATTACTCCGTAGTTTAAAAGGGTAATTATGTCATATAATTTTTTTTAAAATTTTAGATTAATAATTGATACTTTATTAAAGGGTAATCTTGTCTTTTCATAAATTTTAAGGGCTTGTTTGGCTTAAATTTATGCCAAAAAGTGTAAGTGTTCAAAAAAAAATTAACCAATTTATATATGTTTGTCAATGTCGTTATAATTAATCCAATAAACTATATTTCATTTATGGCATATTAAAAGTAGCTAAAACAACCACCATTCCAACCTATTTGAACTTCTCAGAGGCACTTGAAAGCTTCCGGACAAGTTTGGCTACTGCAAAATAAATGCCGAGTACTGATTCTCACCTAATGGTTTGTAGTACATATAAAGAGGATCCAAGGCAAAATGAGTAATGCTTGGATGGCAAGTTTTGTCCTACAAATCTTATTAAAATTTGACACGTGTCTCATAATAAAAAATTAAAACACACATAATCAAATTCTCTAACCGGTATAATCCAATTAAAAATCCATTTTTTCTCTCTCTTTCTCTCTTCTTGGCTTTGCCCTTTTTGACCTTTCAGACTAAACTATTCTCTCTCCTTCAAACCCAGACAACTCTTCTACGTACCTTTCCCAATACTTTCTCTCTCTACCCATTAGTGTTGGAGTGTTGGGTTGATATTTCTTCACCCAATTATAAATGCAATATACTGTACAAATTAAATGTATACCTTTAACAATTTCAGAGATAATTTTAAGGCTTATTGTTGAGAGAGATGAAGAGGAAAAGAGAGAATGAAGAAGTTTTTAACGGATTTTTGTGTGGTGAAAACGGATTTTTGTGAGGTGGGGGGTCGAATACAGCGGCGATAGACTTCATTGCTTGTACAGGGCGGTGAAGATGGAGTCGCCGAGTTCGGACCATATGATAGTTTTGGGGCGGAGGTGGGGACTGGGAAACGGTAGCACCGGTAGGGGAGGAGAGGAGTGGTGGTAGAGACTAAGCCGGAGAGGCCATTGTTATGCTTTGAGTTCACTTTCTCTCTCTGTATATCAGGCTTGGATCTGAAAAATACAAAAAGGGAAAGCCAAAAAAAAAAAAAAAAAGGGTTTTTAATTGGATTTTATCAGGTTAGAGAATTTGATGGTGTGTTTTTTAATTTTTTATTATGGGACACGTGTCAAATTTTGATAGGGCCACGTCAAGGAAGATCCAAGCATTACTCAGGCAAAATAGAAATTGGAGCAAAAAAATTTAACCTAAAATGGTCCTCATAGCTTAATGTTTACGTATAAATGTACTTAAGGCATATATTTGCAGTCTCATAGCTTACAGTTTGGGATGTTTATGCGATCAAAGTCTCATATTTTCAAATAAAAATAAAGTTGACCAAATTAATGACGTGGGCATAAATTTTTAGTGTTCACTCTAATTTATTGTCCAAAATAACCTTTCACTTTTTGAATCAAATTACCATGTTACCCCATTTCTTTAATTCACCCAGACAAAAGCCCATAATTTTTTTTAGGTCACTGATGATTCTGTTCATGCCCGCCGCTTATCTCTTCCGGAGTCACCATTGACGGCGGCGATTGTCCTGAAAACCTCAGCTTCTCACCTCAGAAACCACAAACTACCACCACGCAACCTCCATCACCTAGTGTAACATACAAATCCACTGCTACCACCCAAAACCAAAGCAATAGAAAGTCTGAAATGATTGATGCTGAACCAGATTGTGAAACCCACAAATCCACTCCACCACCACCATCACCACCAAATCAAACCATTCAAACCATCACCATCATCGCGGACACCTTGCAGAGCCCTAATCGAACCCAACACCACCACACTCACCGATTCGGCTTGTCTGCAGAACCTAATTGAAACCCAACAACACCAAATCAAACCATCACCATCATCGCGGACACCTTGCAGAGCCCTAATCGAACCCACCACCACCATCTGCAGAACCTAATTGAAACCCAACAACACCACCATCGGTTGCTCAACCAAACTCAGCGTGGACAAATGCTTGTTGGATTCAGTGGAAATGCACAACGGGCTTCAACAGTAGAGATAAAGTAGGCTATTGCTTTGCATGGCTGGCTCTGCATCAGTGGGAGGTCCGGTGATCGATGGTGGTTTTTGAGAGCTCTGGGCATCATCCATGAACTTTAGAGAGGGAAAAAAATGAAATGATCAACAGTGATTTATTATATATATATATACCTGCTTGGTTGTGTTCATGCCCCGCCGCGCCGCCTTGGTAGTGGTGGTGGTGACTGGTTACTGAGAAAATGTTCCAAAAATGAGTGTAATGTATATATGTGATGGAAGAGAGAAGCGCAGGCGGCTGGGCATGTGTACACAATCATGCCCTAAAAAAAATTAAGGGGTTAATTTATTTTGGTGAATTAATGAAAAGGGCAGTATGGTAATTTGGTTTTAAAAGTGAAAAGGTTTTTCTTGACAACAAATTATACTGTAAAAATTTATGTCCAAATCACTAATTTCGTCAATTTCACTTTTTAGAAGCTTTATGACTTTAACTACGTAAGACTATAAATATGAGTCCATAAATACATTTATACGTAAAAATTCCTTACAGTGTCCTTTCCTCGGTAGGTAGAAAGACTAGAGACTAGACTCCAACAGCATAAGATGTAATCTCTAAATCACAAGGGAGCAATTGCGCCGAGCTCACGGACATGGAACCATGCAAGATGTAAAGTCGAAAAAACAAACACACACGTACACACTCTCAAATGAATAAATCATTCTTTACCTCATATCAATCTAAATAAGCTCAACCACTGGTCTGAGGAATTTCATAAAACCTAAATTTTTATGAAGATTGAAAGAATGAAAGAACAGAGCATAGAGAACGCCACTCACAACCCGAGGGTCTAGGTAAAGTTCTCAAAATATAAAATAGAGCCTAAACACAATGGCACTAAGAAGAAGTCTTAATAACTCAATTACTTAAACCTAATACTTGAAAAAGTGAAAACCCACCCAAACTACAGCCTATTTCATATTAGACTTGACAAGCTTGAACCACTGTTTTTGTGGATTGTCACCACAGTTTGGAACATCATTAAGATCATCATCCATGCAAAGACACTGCTGGGTGTAAACTGTTGAGTTTGAGGATGAGTCAGGGTCCCAATCCAAACACAGGGTCTTTCCTCTTCCATCTTTGGCAGCAAAATGCAGATTAGACCCCGAGACAGGCTTCCACAGACTCCTCTCACTCTTACAATCGTTCGAGAGCCTCACCGGAAGCCCCTCGCCGACAGCATTCAGGCAATAAGAAGTACCAAACAGCCCGATTGGACTCCCGTTACCACCACCATCTCCAATGTAACTCCAACGGGTCGAATAATTGCAATAGCTTACAAAAAGTTTACCCCCTCCACCAACTTGAATGCATTGGCCGCTCAGTGGATGATATAATATGTTGTACTCTGGAACTTTTGAATGTGGATCTGCATCAAGAATGAAAAAAAAAAAAAACAAATTTTTTAGTATCTTCCAACCCATCTCATATGTCGAGAAATAATAAACACGTTGTAAAAGCAAAATTAACACACACAACGTACACATTGAACCATACGATAGGACTAATAATAAAACACACACAACGTACACATTGTAAAATAGAACCATACCCTGGATCGTCTGTTTGATGAGTTGTAGCCTGACTTGCATATCTGGATTTCTAAGATTTTGCCAATCACTATCAAACATCCCATAAGTTTCATCAGTGTCAATCTGGCCTTCCCTTACCAGATAACTACCCTGCAAAGTCCACAAAGCCCAATCTAGATCCTTGTCTGCTACATAGGCCATCAAGCAGGTGATATACTTGTTATCTTTCTCGTTTTGGAAACCCTGATCAGCCCCAAACTCACTCAAGAACAGAGGGTAGGGCTTTTCGCCGCTAATGATGAAGCCACCAGATAAGTTTTGGAACTTGTCGGTGACTGTGTTACACATTACATTAGGTTGGTTCTTCCAGTCATCGTCTGAGTCACCAAATGAGTACCAATGTGCCTCGTACACCAACTTGTTACCCAAATCCACATCCAGTGGCTTTTCCTTCACAAAGCTCAGATTGGTGTCATAAGACAAGCCTGACACTAACACCAACAAATCTGGATTCGCCCCGTGAATCGCCTCCGCACCCTCTTTCATGTGCTTGTACCAATCTTCCTCGTTCTCACGCGGCCCTCGTATCTCATTTCTCATGCTCATACCAATCACCTATATACAATGTCAAAATCACATATTACACACTAATATATATATACACGTGTCAAAATCATGACCTCAAACCCTGTTCAAAGAATTAAAGTACAAACATGACCTTTGTAAAACGTCAAAAATCACATGTTACATAGTAATATACACGTAAATCTGTCAAAATCAATTCTTCGGCAACTGCTTTACCATACTTGGAACCTTAAAGGGTTATCAGATCTTACATAGTAATATAGGTAAAATGTGTCAAAATCAAATCTTTGACCAGTACTCTACTTAGACGTCAAACCCTCTTCAAAGAGTTATATAGTAATTAATACACATGTAATGTGTCAAAATCAAATCACTGACGGGAAGTACCATGTTAAAGAGAGTTGAAGTACAAATAGATTCCAAACTCAAACCTTGTCAAAATCAAATATATATATATATATATAAAATAAAATATAAAAAAGATTGGTTTGGTAGATCAACTCACAGCAGGATGGCCCTTGTAATGCTGAGCAACAGTAGTCAAGCCCTGAACCCATTCCTCGGGATGGAAATACTTGTCCCCGAAAAAGCCGTTGCCGTCGTCGAAAGAGCAGCACCACTGTGGGAGGCTGACATGGTTGTCAAGGACCACCATGATATTCTCTTTGTGAAGTGCATCAACCACAGCCTTCTGGGCATCAATGAGCTTGAGGTCGAGCATTTCAGGGTTGTAAATTTTCATGTCTCGAGTGGCATTATTGAGATTCCACTGCTCAAGAGATTGTGCCACAGTGAGGTTGCCATATTCGTCGGGCCTAGTGAGCATATAAATGGCATATGTGAGACGCACACAGTTGAAACCCATTGAAGTGATGTTAGCTGCAATTTGATTCAATGGCTTCTTCTGAAGACCTTCTGGTATCATGACATGGACATGGCCAGGCCAGTTGACACAGGTCAACTTCAACCTACTCCCTGTCTTGTCATCAACTATCCATCTATTGCTTGTTGAGAGAGGCCATGAATGACAGAGAGTTACAAAAATCAAGAACACAAAAGATAGTAGAATGCTGGTTTGTGATGAGCCTAACTTCATGTTGTCAAGAATTGATGAAGAAGACAAGAGAAAACAGAGTAATGGTACGTTTTTATATGTCAAATAATGTACATATTTATAGACCTATATGATGTATCACAATCCAAGTTGATATGGGTGAAAGTTGTTAATCTTCTATCCAAATTTTGAAATATTTCAAAGCGAGAAGTCGTTGAATAATCGAACTCTCATTTTAAAAATAGCAGTTTGGTTTTGAATGAAATTCCTACCTCACTCTAGATAGTAATTTGGATGAACTTAATATCCTATAAATCCTATTTGGTCTCAACAGATAATCAATATATGCTTACCCTTTAATCCTATTTTGTTTGCAGCTGGAAGAGTGGAAGACTGATTTTTGTGTGGTCTCAAAAAGTAATCAATATGCTATAAAATAAATATAACCATATAAAGAAGACCCTTGTTTTTTATAATTTCCGGGTTTTTTTTTTTAATCAATTCTTAATTTTTATGTTCGATTTATAATTTCATATATGCATATAAAATGGAGTTAAGGGGCACATGTTATTATTTTGTAATGAAATAATATTTAAATTTAAACAAAAAAGAAACTAAAATATATATATATGTTGATCATGATTTTAATTATTTCTTTTTGTTAGATAAGTTATAGCCCAATGATATAATAGAACCCAAGCTTAATTCAGATTATAGTTATAGTCGGACATAAATTAAAATTTTTTAACCCAAGCTTAATTCAGATTATAGTTAGAGTCGGACACAAATTAAAATATTTGAATCCGTGCTTAAGCACGGGTTGAATTAAGCTCGGGTTCAAATATTTTAATTTGTGTCCGACTCTAACTATAACGATTGTTGTAAAATCTCAAATTGGGTTCGCATTAGCCTACCCAATTTGCACAATTTACTAATTAAGACCTTGAATAATAGAACCAACAGCTTGAGAAGGATGTTTGAAAATAAAAGTTAGAATATTTCGTTTCTAACTTGTCTAACTTATTTTAAAAATATACATATATGGATATTTTATAATTGTGCTTTATTTTGTTTTCATTATTTTTCATAACACTTTGGTTGATAACAAAATTAATAATTTTTTTTTTTTTAATTTTTTTTAAATATCAATCTTGAATTTTCTTTAAGACTGTAATGAGTGAATTAGATTATTCATACCTTAACTCCGAAGTGGGGTGGGTTTGTGAATTATTTTATTTTGTTAAAAATCAGTTTGGGTAGGCCTCACTACTCTTTAAGAATACTGAGGATGCAATTTAGATTAGTCCGGTGCGGTTGGAAAAATTATTAGGAGTATGGTACTCAGGGTAGTGAGAGCCATTAAATTATGGATGTGGTGATGAGACCCACCATATTCAATGGTTGGGATGCCTTAAGATACCATACCTCCAGGATATTCAATAATTTCTCTGTGTGGTTGAAGATTTTGAGGTTTTCTTGTTTCGATGCATCCGCTATTTTTTAGTAAATGTACACCCCAATTTCAGTTGATTTTTCAAATTTATCTTTAAAGTGAGATTTGGATAAATTACAAGCGGGCCATTTAGCTTTTATTAAATTTTAGCACAATAAATCACTGATATCCTAATTTTTATGAGAGGGAAAAACATCATACAACTAAAATTATCATTTTATAAAATTTAATCAACATCCTTCAACAACTAAAAAAAGGTGATGGCCAAAAACAATGGCTCCTTTTCTTTAAAAATAATTTTGATATTTTTTATTAAATAAATAATATAACAGGATCACTTATAGAAATTAATAAATGATAATATAAATGTCATCAACAAAATGTTTGGTCATGAGCCATTTTTTTTTTCTTTTTTTTTTTTTTTACCAGTTAAGAAACATATATATATATATCCAAACATAACAATCACAATACCCCCTTTTAGGATTTGAATCTCGACCTTTTATTTTGAAGAGGAAAAAGTAGTACTGCAACTCTTGCAAAACTTAACGGGATACCGAGTAAACTTAATAAGAGCTCTTGCTCCTCACTTGCCTGAGCTGAGCCCACAATTGAACAATCTCTTCCCAATATATAGAGCTACACTGAGTTCCTCTACAACACCACCAAACCAGCCATAAAAAAAGAAAAATGTAACAAAAGCAATCACTACACTATCATTCCATAACCCTGTCCTCCATGAATTACTCTACTAAGTGGACAAAATCAAGAACAAGCATCCATCGGCACAACAATGCCCTCTCATACCACCAAGAGGTCGATTTTGTTTTACAATACGCAAATAAAAAATTTCAACTTTCGAGGTGTTTATTTGGACTTCTTTTCATCAGAAGAAGCCCTAGACCCAATTATATTGCAAACGGGTAAATCCTTTGATTGAATAAGCCTTACAGCTGGATGAACCTTGAGGTCCGCCATTAACAACTTTTGACCCACATCCAATTCACTTAGATCCACCTCAATATAGGGAGGGATGACATCTGCAGGGCAAAGGAACTTGACAGTCCTCTTGATAGTGTTCAAATAAGCTCCTGCCAAGTTTCACAAGTAACAATCAAATTAATACTCCATGGGTTTGATTAATATTTAGCTACTACAAGAGGAAAGCATAAATACATAAAAATAATGCATATGAGAACCAAAATAAATAACCTCGAAAATATTCACAGCATTGTCTATCATATTATAACAATGGGGGTGGTTGTACATTTAAAACACTGGAGCAAATGACCATCACCAAGTACCTCTTTAGCAATGAAGGCTGGGATTCGCAAGGTCTGAAGTTTGACAGAGTCTGATAGCCTAGGGAATTTATTGTTCAACTCCTAGAGGGATTGAATCAATTGATGCTTTCCCAAGGACATGGCTTTTGACAGCCAGCTTTTTTAAGGCAAAATTTTGAATTTGTGTTATCAGGATTCAATGGGATTTTTTTTTGATAAGTGATTCAATTGTGTTTTAGAAGCAATTAGCAAGTATAAGGCACCATAAATTTATCTGATTCATTAGTAAATAGTTATAGGAGAATCACCCATCTAAGATTGAGCCGCTTCAGAAATGTATAGAATTCAAACTTCGATGTTGACATCTAGATGTAGGCTTATTAGGTCAAGTCCATCACTCTCTATGTCTACTTTTGAAACTTAAAAAACAAAAAATACAAAACACAAGGTATTTGTATTTTTTATTGTTTTCACCCTCGTAATTTCATCATTTTACAATTCAATGAAGTTTCAAAATATATTTCCAATTCTCATTGTGATCAGCATGCACAGAGTTGGATATCCACCACTTTCTGCATCTTGCCAAATGTTTTGGTCCTTAGTCACTTAACTTCTGCAAGTTATTCCACTGTAAGTTCTGAAAAGTGAGCTCAATTCGGTTTGAGACCCAGTCTATTTACCTTTCCCCCATGGCCACAGTTGCATGATGACTGCATCTGATTAACTAATGGTCTCCATACATGATGATGATAGTGAAATTCCAATCCAAACCTGTAATACCCCTAATTTTCGGAACATTTATTTTAGTTAATTTATTTGTTTTATTTGATTTATGTGCTTTTAATTGTTAATTGTTATTATTTATGTGGTTAATTGTTTATTTGATTTGATAGTTTAATTGTAGATATTTTATTTGTTAGTTAGTTGATTAATTACTTGTGTAGTTAAGGTTATTTAATTTTATGATGCGTGTGAGGTGTTCTATTGCCATTACTTGTTCTTGTTTGTGTATTTAATTAACTATTGGTTTGTTTAATTAGTTACTCCTTCCGTCCTATAAAAGTTGTCCACATTGGTAATTAATTACCAATGTGGACAACTTTTATAGGACGGAGGGAGTATTTGTTTTATTTTATTTTAGTTTTAAATTAGTTGGGCTAAGTAAATGGACTATGAGTTTGGGCTTGGAAGGAGAAAGCCTTGATGATTTAAAGGCCTAGTTGGGTGGAAGACTATTGGCCCATGTGGGTATATATATATATATATAATTAAATATGTGAATATATATATATATATATATATATATATGTATATATATTTACTTTGTGTGTATTATATAATTAAATTAAATATTTGATAATCCAATTAACAATAGGACTAGGGTTATTTTGTATTATATGTGTGCGTGCGCGCGTGCGTGTGCGCGCTTATAGTTATTAGGAAGGTTTTTGTTGATACGTGAGATTTAAGAGAAGAAGAAAAAAGGCAGAGAAATAGGGAGAGATAGAAGAGGAAGAAGAAGGGGACCGGAAAAGGAAAACGAATGTGACAAAGGGTTGCCAGAGTTGGAGAAGAAGACCGGAGCAATTGTAGAGAACTTGGAGTTTGATTTTTAATCCGAAAATCACGAGGCAAGTTCTATGTTATACTATTCTCCTTAGCACCTTTAATCCATGCATTGTTAGCTTGACTTTAGGGAGTTTAAACAGAGGAGTTAAACATGTTTCTATGCAATAATCGGATTATAATTAATTTATAAATGTGTATACGTATGTATGTTTATACAGAGTTGGATCTTTCAAATTAATGTATGAAAACTTGGTTTTGATTTCTCTAATCATGTATAAGCTTTATATTAATTATGGAAATCAATTGGGACATAGATGCATGATTTAGGACCCGGAACGATGGATTTTCATACTTGAAACGGACCTATCGAACTGGTTTTACGAACCAGTGCTCGAGCATAGTGATTAGTGCTCGAGCACTATGTTGTTCGTGAACCAATGCTCAAGCACTGTACTGTGCTCGAGCACAGTACGAGTGTGCTCGAGCACTGGGGACTAGATTTCCCTAAACTTGCTCTGAATGGCCCTGAATTGATTTTATTAAGCCCTAAACACGTACTAAGGCGTCGGAAACAGTGTTCTATGATTTAATTGCATGAAATTGGTATTAAACTCATATGCTTCGAGACTTTATGTAAAAGATTAAATTAACTAATAAGTTGAATTAATCTTTTATGATATTTAAATTGTGGATTGAAATACATTAACTTGATTTATGATCTTAATTGTTGAAGTATTTATGATCTACAGACATGAACTATGGCTAGATTGTGCGTTGTATTATGGATAGATATGGTTTGGATGAGTATAAATAGAGAAAGGATTAAATCAATTAATAAGTTGTTTATTATTCTTTTATGATGCTTAAATTGCAATAATTAATGCATTAATTTGGTTTATAATTATAATCATATATATTGACGTGTTGGTGATCTAAAATATGATCATTGACCATACACGCTTGTTGTCCCGTTGATAGAGATAATATTGAGGAGACTTATGTATGCATGTATGTGTGGCGGAACCACGTGAACTGACTAATAAGTCTAAGACTCACTTATACCTTTCAGATTCGTTGCTATAGACATGATTCGTATCTGCCGGGGTATGTGGTTCGATGTTCAGAAATTCGTTGCCAGCATTTATTAGTTATGCGATTATGATAAGATTGATGAATGTTGCAGATGCCTCGATAGCCCAGTGGGTTAGTGCCTCGAACTTTGGAGTACTCGACTTCGACTCTCTGTATCTATTAATCTAACTTCTAATAAATACTTCTATAAAAAAATAAATAAATGTTAGTGGTGGGATCTTTGAGATAACTAATAAGCTAGGCTTCTTAATATTTTATGTCGTCGTTAGATATGGCTTGACATTTGATGAGTAAGTGGGCTAGCTAATAAGTCAAGACACGCTACAGTGTGCCATTGTTAGATATGGCTTCATTGATGACGTTATTATATATTTATATGAGAGCCCTGATATGAACTTGAGGTCTCGGGATCAGTGGTTAGAACTGAGGCATATATTGTCGGGGATGGGTAGCTAGATATAGGAGATGTGTGGGCCCTGGTAGAGGGGGACTCTTGACCACCTTGTGTGCGATTTTTCATGTGATACCCACTATCCGGTTGAGATAGCCCTATATTTTAGTGAGAGTCTTAATGTGTATGCGTATGTGTTTGTATCGACTATGTAGTTATTGCAGGAGTGTGGTTAAGGATGTATCGCTTATTGGTTCTCTGATTGGGTTGTAGTAGAAAGGACTTATTCGTGGATTTTGACCCACCTTTGTTATATTTTTTCAGGTGCTTATCAGTTCCAGTCTTAGAGGTTTTTCGTGCTGATCAGAGAACATCATCTTCACTCTTCTGGAGTCATTAACGTAGGATACTATCTTTGTATAGTTTACTTAGTAGACTTTGGTATCTTTACATTTCAGTTATGGGTTTTGATTAAGGGTCCATGATACAAATTCCTGAGTTGTATTATGGAGGCTTATTCCTCATGGGATTTATTGGAGTATTGGTATAAGAGAATTGAGGATTTAATAAAAATTATTTTAATTTTCTATTAAGTGAATATTTATTTATTCTTATTTCGTCTTGTATTCCGTGCTTGTTTAAATTCTTAATTGTTTTTTTATATCATCGGGTTTTCGGGTGTGGACCTGGCCAACCTACACGTGGAAATTCAGGGGTATCACAAAACCATGGTCCTAATTAACCCCAATATATAAATATACATATATTTATATCTATACCCAGTGTAATTAATAATCTTCCAAAAGAATAATTGAAAAATCACTACACCATATAAGATCAGCAATATTCCAAAATCCTCCCAAAGGCTGGTATCGTACATTTCTTTGAAAATGAACATTTTAGAAGATAGTTAAGAATTATGAAAACAAGATATTGAAGTCATAGTAGCTGGATTGGGCTTGCCAAATGAATTAGTAGCTGGATTGGGCTTGCCAAATGAATAGTTAAAAGAACCAATGGGCACTGGTTTTAGTTGCAAGGGTTGATTGCCTACAAGGTTCTCAGAAAGGCACCTGAAATATTTGCCATACATCTAACACTGGTAGATTAGTTCTGCTTTCTTGAAAAATTAGGGTGGAATATAGTTAAGTGGAAGGTGTTGGTCATTTAAGCTAAACTAGCTTTTACAAATCATAGCTGATAAATTGTTTAAGAGAGTAGTTCATCAACCATAAGCCTGCATAAATTTAAATTTAATATCTAGAATAGTGACCTAATTTGTGCTTATCCAACTATCCAAGTAAAATTAAAATTGATAGTCTTAACATAGACTCTATAAAGGAAGATTTACTAAAACCATCTCTATGCCTAGAACTTATTTAAAGCCCAGTTTCATTCTTAAAAGAGTGACATCCACAGCAAGAAGATCAATTGAGAGTTTGTGTCTGTTTCCAAGAACTACAAACACAGATCAAACAGAAGACCCTAACTGAGTGGTATGAAAATTTCTATGAAATTAGAGAGGTAATTTTGCTGCATATCATTTGAATAATTGTTTATAGATGTTTTTTTTTTTTTTTCCCTGAATGAATTGTTTATAGATGTGAGTCAACTAACCGATCAACGTTATGGGATGTATGACTTATAAATAACAGAATACCATAAACAATTTCATTATTTTCAATATATAAATTCCCAAATCATTTAGACTTTATAAAGATAAGACACAGCAAGAGCCTCAGATTCTGAGTAGCAAAAAGAATAAAAATTAAAAATTAAAAAAAAAATGAAAGAAAAGAAAAGAAAAAACACACCAAAACTTTTGCACGAAAACATATAAGAGAAGTTTCATTCTTGCCATACCTTTTCTCAGCCCAGGTGACACATCGTCTCCTATGAATACAAGAGGAACTTCAACCTTTAACAAGGCCTGAGATGGAGCCCTTATAAAGGTAACATTAAGTACCGCATCTGTACCGGCATGCAGATGAAGCTGACACAATTAGAGAAAGATAAAATCAGAATGTGGCACACTGTGGAAGAACTCAGATGATGAGACTACTTAACAATTATAAAATAATTCTTAGCACTAAATATATAAGTTAATTCTATATATAATATATATATATATATATATATGTATATATATTTCTTTGGAAAAGTAATTTACATGAAACTATGTTCAGGTAAGAACTTAAATCCGGACTTCCCCCTTTTGGGGTGGAAGATATGCCCACTCAACAACTGATGGAAAACAATATTTAAACTTTGATTTCTCTCAAAGCTTCAGAAGCTCCTAACAGAAATTTATTTTAAATCCGCATTAACTTCTCATGCACTCCATTTCAAGAATAGTGTAGGCCTGCCAAATAAACATTTCAGACCACATGATTTTGTTGTCTGACAGGCTAATAGAAATTCATCAGAATATCTGTTAACAAACAAATATATCAACGTGATTAAAGTTCCTGGGATGATGGAATGCATCAGATTATGCTCATTTTCTGTTGGTTAGAATCGTAGAACAACATATCATCACACTGTCAATTGGAAGTGTAATATAACATATCGTCACATTACATGACCACCACTGCAGCTGGAAATTCTGTGGTCACTCTGAATTTCCAACTTATGGAAACTGCACTCTGCTATTCAGAAATCATTTCCACCTTACAACTATGGCAATGTAGTCGAAGTTAACCTCTGCTCGCTCACTTCTTCCATAATACAAGAGCATGCAAGCTCACCCTAAAACCAAATGTTCCTAGCCTAAACCAACAATCTAGTATGCCAATAGCTCTAAGCTGATAAAACCATATCAAATTGAGCTGGTTTAACCATTTGGAGATGTGTATAACAACTCATGATCCTCAACTTTCCACTCCACCGCAAGTCTATGTTGTTAGTATTATTAGCTTTTCTAATAGGTCAGAAAAAGACTAAATTTTAGTTGTAGACACTGATAATAATCCAAAATACTATCAAAATTCTTAAGGCATTTCTAAGTTGACTATTACTATAATTTATTCTGATAATTCACCACAAGCCTATGTCTTAGGTCTAGAAACTGATTATGACTAAAATGTTATGTTTTGAACTAATTTTCCGCCAATTCCAATTCCAAACACCTGATTCCATGCTTTCAAAAGCCACGTAAAGAATGTCAAAATTCTTGGGAAATTTCCAAGTTATTAACTCATTTTTTATTTAAAAATAAAAATAAATCAACAATAAATTACAAAATTCATAGGTCTTCATTCAACATTTCTAACAAGAATCACAAACCTAGCCTATCAGATAAAAGAACTACACATCAAAAAGTCACAACCTAGTGTTGTTATTATATATCACATGAGAATCACAATAGTTTATGAAGTTCTTATCTATACCAAAAAAAAAATAAGAAAACGCAAATATAAACACACTTGCATATAGGAATTTGTGAAAAGATTTTTCTTTCGGCATTTTCAAATTGGCATCACAATCTTAGAGAGAAAAAGTATCACAAATCAAGTCTACAAAGAAAAAGAAAAACCATACCTTTCGCGGCAAGACCCGAACCTTCTCGATGACATTGTCGGACTCGAAATCGGACCGAACCTCAAGATCAAAGAGTCTAGAGAGGAAGAAGGACCGGCCGAGATGGTTCACGAGCTTGCGAATCTGATTGGTTTGAACAGAAATGAGACGCTTATTGCCGCCGTGTTGGCCGTCCTCCTGTTCGAAAACGATGCTGGGGACACGGCCGCGCTTCCTCTCCTTGGCGGAGATGTTCTTACCGGAGGCTTCGCGTGGGATCGCAAGGATGGTCTCGTCATATTTGGGGTCTGGTTTGGGTAAGCCTTCGAGATAGGTGAATCGTTGTTCGAAGTCGTGGATGAGAGGTGCGGCTGAAGATTGGGTGAAGTAGCGGAGATGGAGGACTCTGGTGAGTATTGGCCGGCGGCACCACATTTGGCGGTTTATAGAGAGAGAGCCACTGGACTGGTGTGGATGCAGCTGTTAGAGAGAGAAAAAGAGGAGTTTAGAAAGGGTTTACGAGGGGGAAACGAAGTGGCGGCGAGTGGGTGAGACTCGTAAGAGGGGTTTGGGGAATTTCGGAATGTTTGGACGCAGATACTGTCCCGAATTTGACTGAGATTTGTGGAATAACAAGTGTGTAAACGTGACAAGTCTAAAACTGGAACGTCCAAATTGAATTATTTATGTGATTTTAGGATTCAAGGGACCAAATTTGAGTAGTCACAATTTTAGTAAACTGGTTTGAAATTTTTTTATATGTTTGGATACGTACGCATACTATCCCAATTCCGGACGGGATTGATGGTGGAATTGAAAGTGGAAAAGAGATTCGTTTTGGATTGCTGTTAAAATTATAAAAGCACTTTTAACAGTAGAACTGTTATAAAATTGCATTTGGTGGTATATTTTATAAAGTGCTTTATATTTAAAAAAAATTTAAATTTATTTGATAATAATGTTGCTTAAAATATTTTTATTATTGAATTTACTAATAATATCCATATCCTCCGTATATTTTGTTTTAGTTATATATAATAGGGTAAAGTGCAAAAAAACCCCTTCAACTATTGACCATGTGTAATTAATTCCCCTGAACTACAATTTGCCCCCTTGAACTCTTGAATTTGGTGCAATTGACCCCCAATGTGACATCTCCGGCCAATTGGTGTAAACAAAAATAGTAAAAGACAATTTTACCCTTATAAAAGCAACCTTATGACCATGGTGACATGGAGGGGAGCTTCAATCAATGACAGACATACCCACGCTGAACCGTGCCATATAGCTTCTCCGGCAACGGCAACCCATTTCATTAACTGAGTCGTATATGCGCTATGGGTCGAGCACCTTAATCACGAAGCTTCAACAGCATCAATGGTGGTCGCGAGACAAGAACGGCAACTGGTGTGATTCAGTGCTTGCCGGTTTCTAAAATCAATTCAACCTCTTCACCGAGAACTCCCAGTCGTCCCAACACGGCTTCTGGGCAGGAGCATTCAAGACGTTCGAAAAGCCAACAAGCGGTTTCGCCTTTTCCTCACGATCTCTGTTGTGATGGTGCAAACAAAGGTCCTGCAATTGATTCCACCCGATTAAGAAAAATTAGTCGATCAAATATGCGACAAAATGGGTTCATTCGGCGATGGAGCCACTGGTTATTTCGGCGGCAGTGAAGCCAAAGCTGAAGCCGAAGAGGTGGCAGTGGCTGCGGGTTTTGATCTACACTGCGAGACAACCACCACCATGAACACCAAATCTAAACCCCAAATTGAAAGCCAAGAACGCACAACACGACCACCGGTCTTGATTTGCAGGTGGTTACCAAATCGTCCTCAATAAATCGATTTGCTGCAGTGGTGGCCACTGCTGTTCCACCCCGCCAAGCCGCGCCGTGTCGCAATCTCACAACCGAGCTTCTTCTTCCATCGCCGGTCAAACCCTCACTGGATGAGCTCTTCACAGCCGACCCCTCCATCGTGGACGAGCTCTTCATAGCCGTTCCATCCCGCCGAGCCGCGCCACGTCGCAATCTTACACCTGAGCTTCTTCTTCCATCGCCGGTCAAACCCTCACCGGACGACCTCTTCACAGTCGACCCCTCTATTGCGGACGAGCTCTTCACAGCCGACCCCTCTTGCTCGATTTTGGATTTTTTTTTGGATTGTATATTGTGTTTGGGCTTTACTTAGGCCTTGTTTGGTTGCGGCTCAAGCACTATCCGGGATTAGACAATAATAAGGGTACATGTGTCATTTGATTCACTTAGCTTAAAGGGTTGTATGGTCATTTAAAAAAATTTGAATAGTCACGTGACCGATCATGTGCGTCTTTACGGTCAAATTCAACGGACTTGTCCCCGGACGGGGTTAATTGCACCAAATTGGTTAGTTCAAGGGGGCTATATGTCAAATTAATAGATCAGGGGGGTTTTCTGCTTCATGGCCAATAGTTGAAGGGTTTTTTTTGCACTTTACCCTATATAATATGAATTCTTGCTTATCAAAGGAAAAAAACATAGAACACCAGCACTCATATTTATAAAATTCAAGTCGTATAAGATTCAAGATCCAAGTTTAGTTTTACTAATTATAGCTTGATTTTTCTCATGAATATACTAATTGTATTTTTATATGAGTTTAGTTTTAAATAAAGTTAATCGAAGAGTGAAATCCAAAAATTTTCCAATGCAACTCTAATCAAAAGTAATAATTACCCCATTTAAGAAGTTGATCTAAAAAAAGACAAGAAATAATATAAATATATATTTTGGATAAATGAAAAAAATTGAATGATTAAGGAACTAAACTCCTACTAAACTAAACTAAACTTCTAATACAACTTGAATTTGGATACTGAATTTCTAATATAAATAAATACATAAGTTTCTTAAAGGAATTGTACGACAACAACAATACTAGTAAGTTTCAATTTTCAGACAACACAATTTGGATGGTATAATATTTGTATATTTTTTTAATACTTGGGACAAAATTGTATTTATAAAAAGTAAAGAGGGATTAAATTGTTTAAAACAATATAATTTTCATAAAAAATCTACTTTTACTTAAAACACAATTTTAAAAGTTACCATTTGTAACTTCAAGTTAACGCGCTCACAGCAACTAATAAAAGTGCTTTCTAATATAGAAGCAATCCCAAACAGGTAGTCTGTGACTGGGTGTAGTCGAGGTTGGGAAATTTTGGAACGTTTGGAAATAAGCTTTAACTATTATAATTCAGGATAGGATATCCAGTTAAAAGAGAACAATTAAATTGGTTATGAGATGACAGAATTGCCCTCAGTTAGTAACTAGGATAATTGTAAACATTCGAACTGTAGGGAACCTCGCCCGCGCATATTCGTTGGATTGTTCTGTTTTGCCAATTGTCAACGGACGGTCAGTAACGCCGCTAGAAAATATAAAGAGCTCCCTGAAATTCTTCTTTCTATCGACTTGAAGCATTCACAGATGGGCGCTCAAAATAAGGTACTTTTTTGTTTTCCATGATTCCTCTGTTTGATTGCTGAGAATTTATTTTCTGTACGTGCGTATATAGGTATATAAAATTCATATCTTCAGTGTGATTTTTGATGTTGTGATTTCATTATTGTGTTTCTGTAATGAAATTAATTATGAACAACTTGGTCCACTAATTGAAATTTTAATGTGTGATAGATATAACATATAGTATTATCAGTAGGACATCTAATTCAATTCAGTGACTACCAATCCATCGTAATACAATTGTGTGTGCGTGTATACACACACACATATACACACATCATTTATTAATATACATGAGCTTAAATTTCCCAGCAGTCCACTAATTGAACTATTACATAAGAGCCCACATCAGTTCCATTTCCAGTTTTCTGTGTCTCATCTTATCTCATGTTTCTGTTCATAATTCACATTGAATTGGCAAACATATTGGTTCCTTTTCTGAGACCAAAAAAGTGAGCTGCAGGGTTGGAGGCTTAGTTATTTCCAAAAATTACAATTACTTATATGCACAATCTCACAAGCACCACTTTGCTCGATGTGGGGCCCAACCGTTCACTAACCTTTGGGGGAAGAGAGCTCATATCACCTAGGCCAATGGTACTTTTATGCAGCTCTTCTGTGTAATTAGCCGACACCTAAATATAAAACATTATAGAATTAAAAAGATAATCCGAGAAGATATTAGCATAATGTAGCACTAAATTTACTATTATTGTTACTTGTACATGTGTTGACCTTCGACATTGTTTATAGTACTTTCGGTCTTGTCTGATCAATACACATTGCCTCTCAGATATGTTTTTTTGTTTCAATTTTAGGTCTCCTATGATTCTTAGACTTGTGATGTTGAATTGTTGTATTATAGACTTGAGTCATTTCTCATTTCTCTGGAAATTTGATGTGAATTTCACCATTTACCTCTACAACTATGACTCGATATTTCGATACCAGTCTCATCTCTCTAAGGTATCTTGTTTAGGGTTCTACAAAGATTAAGCACATATATTAATTCTTTTCTTTATGATTCCGGAATGCTGTAGGTGCCACATTCATATATCCATTACATCTATGATGTTGGTGTGAGGCCTTTATAAATGACATGACTTGTCTACCATGGTAATCTATCCATTTGTGTCAATGCTTCAATTTTTGGTTCTTGAAATACCATAAGAATTTCAGTTTTTTTCCTTTTCTTTTCGTTTTTTTGGTAGTGAAAGTGGTGTTAAACACCTCAAGCCAGATATGGAACTTCCATTTATGCACCTCACTACTGCACAACCTAATTCAGCAGTTAGACATCCACGATGGGCATTTCACTGTTGTTTGAGTTGATGTAATTCAATGATTTACGAGCTAATTTAATATATTCAAAATTTCGACATTCCCTTCTTTTATCTCGGTTGTTATGGATATACATTAGCTTACCTTTTCCAGCATAACAATCTTCCCAGCTTTTTCTTCTGTTCCATTAGGCCATTTCTTCAGCTGCTATTTGATCTTACTAGTTTTCCAGATTTGTCCCCCCAACGAATGAAGATATCTTGTCGGATTTTTCCCGTATGTAATTGAGCACAACTTTGCAAGGAAATAGCTCACTTCTATGATGATACTTTGTCTTTGAATTTAACATTATTTGCATAAAACTTTTTTCTTTTCTGTCTTCTCTTTCACAAACACTTGTCATTCTGTTTTCTCATTTTCTTCGTTTTCCTAGAGCCAGAAAGATACTTGATCCAATGATCTCTTATTGATCATATAGGAGCACTGCAAGGTAACCACTTTCCTCAAGTGCCGAGACCTTCCAAGTTACTTCTTCATGTTTTTGTCTCCTCGTGAAGCTCCTTTTCCGTTTTTTTTTTTTTTTTGGGGCCATCAACTTATCTCATATTGCTATTCAAACCTGATTCTAGATTAGCCATTCTTTTTGTCTCTGTTGTTTGAAGAACAAAAAGGCAGGCTGCAAAGTTTAAATCTTATTTATTTATTTTTGTAAGTTCATGGTTTCCTTTATGCACACTCTTCTGTTCAATTAACTAACATCCACAATGGAATATTGTGGTAAAAAATAACCCCGGCACAATATATTCCCATGGTAATGACTTTGAACTTAAGCAAGTTACCAGCACATCCCTGGATGGAGATGGCATGGTAACCCTCAAACGCTTGTGGGATCCTACAAGTGTCTTCTCTAGTATGAGAGAATTTTGGCATTATAACGGCATGACAACAAGGATGTCATTCCGCTACAATGAACGTGCTATGGATTTTTTGAAAAAGCGAGTGTGTGAGATTGGTTTTAGAGAGTGAGAGTTCGTTTTAAAGCATGAATGCAACAATTACTATACATATATTGACCTTCTAGGACGGCATATCACATATATATATCTTATTGCCCCCTCTTTACATTGCCTAAAATCTGCCATCCTTTTCGTGGGTTTTGCTGTTTTTGTAGGCATTTGGTTGATGAATGCTTTTGTCACACTCCATAAGTGGGGCTGGGCATCTAAAGTATGTCTGGAAGTTGCACAATTGTTAATCCAAGGAAGAATTTGAGGGTTAGATCTACTGTTTCTTTGAGTTTTAATGCTTTATCGGTAACTAACTTTATCAAGTTTATCATTAAGTTATTGTCTTTACTTTCCCCTTTTGTTGGTTTTAGTTTAAAAGAACATGTATGGATATGTTTCCGTTCCGGACCCACAATAGAATTCCTCTTGTGGCTGTCTCATCCGAGAAATTTTTATATGATCCGGGACTACATGGTCCCAACCAATCACAACTTGACACGAAAGCACACGTGTCAGCTTATTCAGATTTTTTGCTTGCATGTCCAGTTAAGATTGGCCGGAACCATATAGTCCCGGACTATGTAATAATTTGTCGTCTAGAAGGCACATTTCTGATGCGAGAGTAAGTGGGGTGCACATCTTTGGTGACTGCACTTTCATGATTCGTTGCAAGATGTGAAATTGAGTGTGAGTGGAGATCATATTAACCATATTCAATAGGGTTGTCTTATCTTAGAATTAAGATGTGGTAACTTCTTTGATTGAGACCTTAATGCAAGTAGGCATCTTTATCTCCATCGATTTGGCTAGAGCCTAGATACCTTGCTTTCAAAAGCAAAATGATTATGCATGGCTTCTTAGTTTTCCATTATTCTTCTTATAACTTGTGAGTTTAAAGCCATTGGACCAATAGTAAAACCTTCTTTTGTGTGTGTGGTGTGTAAATGAACATAGATAGTGGGAAGGTTTGAGTTGTTGGACTAGGTATTTTTTATGTAGCAGAGTAATAATGCATGATTTAAGTAGTAAACTCCCGTTGATTTCATTTTTAAGTTGCCGATTTGATGCTCCCAAACAAGAGGAGGTGTGAAAGTGTTTTTTGAAAGACAACGGGCTTTGAACTTTAGGGGTCTATTTCTTGCACACCCCCCGAGTTAAAATTTGATCAACTGGTCTTTCTCACGAGATACAACTTTAGAGGCTATAATGAGTAAGTGTGTGATGATGTGAGGCCATTTGAGATTGAAGTTTCACTGTCAAAGTTAAATGTTATAAACTCTAGAATTTTACAATTAGCCTTATTTTAGTTACAGTATTTAAAAATTGCTAAATGTCTTTAACATGGGAGTATTGGAGAAACTGGCTTACGGAAAAATATCAAGTGCAGTAAATTTGGATTTCATAATTTGATGTTTTTTTCTCTCCCTCTCATGATAGGTGTCATATCTCGTGTTTTATAGAAGAACGTAATACATATATGTTTTACTTATTAAAAAAAAAAATACATAACACATATGTTTTATGTTTTATTTTGCAGTTTTTCTTTAACACTAAAGCCAGTTACGGTAAAGATTTTGTTGTCGCAATCATATTATATAGTAGGGAAAACGAATCTCCTGTGGAGGGATTCCAATGCCTTGTTCCCGTGTGTTATTACATGGATAGTGCAACGTAAGAGTGGTAGTTGTTGCATAAGCCATTTAACCTAATATGTGCATAGTTGGACGCAGCACATGAGAGAATTGGTTTTCTAGAGAAAACTTTGGTAGAATGGTACTGAAATATGGGAAGTCTATCATTAGTAAAATATGATGTATATTCAGGTTCAAGGCAGAGTCAGGATTTTAATTCGGAGGCATAGTGTAAAAAAAAACAAAAAAAAAAAACCATAATTTAAATAAAAGAACAAAAAAAAATTACATACTATATATATCATTCTTAAGCGCAAAAACAATAATCTTAAGAAGTAGGAGGGAATAATAATAATAATAATCATAAGAAAAAGGGAAGAAAAATGGTAACTTTGAAAGGAAAAAAAAAAAAAATTTAAGTTTGACTAAAGAAGGAAAATTTAACCTTTTTTTTTTAAGGAAATCATAAGAATATTAAGAGCAAAAGAAAAAGGAAAGATAATTTTACAATATAATTTTAAGGACTTGAATCTTCTAAGTTATTCTAAAAGTTGAATCCGTTATAGATTGATAAGTGATATTCAAAATCTATCTATTAGTTAAACCAAGTCAACCAATTTCTCCTCTTGCTCATTCCTAATGTGGGGGGGGGAGGGGGTACTGGCAATAGTAATGTTTGGAAAAGAATATATATATAGATATTGATGTAGTTAAAAAAATACAACAAAAGCCTTATATATGGAAAAGATGAGAGAAAACGTCGGTTGAGTTAAAAGAGAAACAAACATCATCGCGACTTATTTAAAATAGGAATAAAGAGGAGAGAGATGGAAGATCTTGTTTTTTTGTTGTTTTTTAGAAAATATGAGGGAGAGATAATGTGGTCGTTGTCAGAGTAATGTGAATTTTCCTTAATGGTAAATTTTTTTTATCTTAAAACAGTGCAATTTTTAAACTTTTTTTAAATTAGTTAATGTGATTTAATACAAGCAGTAGATAGATTTTAAATGTCATATATCAATCTATAAAGAATTCAACTTAAGATAACTTAGAAAATAGTTAACTCCAAATCCTAATTTTAGATATTAAAAATTGTAGTGGGCATTATATAGAAAATTTCTTATAAATATAAAAATAAATTAAAAAAGGTTATGAAATCTAATACCTAAATGTCATTACCTTGATGTGTTTATGCTAGATGTGAGGCAGACCTAATTTTGGAGGTTGTTTTCGTATTTTTACCTGTAGTATAACGTTTGTTATAAATTTAACACCTACACCAAGTAATGAATCAATTGGGAATCCAATATCTAGATCTTGAAAAATAAGCAGTTATGGATATAATTGCTCTTTTATGACCATAACAATACATATGGATAGATAAACATACAATTAAGAAGAAAAAAATATTGTATAATAAAATTTTAAAATAATAAATTTCATAAATTAATGGAGTTGAGTTGACTTGCCAATAGGTTCAATCTAATTTTCTAAACTAGAGCCAAATCAAAAGCCAATCTGGAGACTCTTCAAACATGAACACGAACAATCCAGACATTGGTTAGAATTATTATTTATCTAATTATAATATTTTAATATTTTATAAGATGGGCATGTGAATGTGTGATGATAGCCTTGCCCTTTCAGTATGGTGGGGGCAATATGTACCCTTCAATCGCTAAGATGTCATTAATGTGGTTAATGAAAATTATCATGGTATGTACCACTGTAGGGTAAACCCCTCAATCTTAGAGAAATCAAAATCTCCTTCTATTTAGAGACAGACTTCTCAGCATCCGATATTTATTTTATTAATTAATTATTTTTTATTATGTAAATAAAATTATTTTATTTTAGTAATTAATTTTGGTGAACAACACAAAACTCGTTAAACGGTGCAGAGTTAAATAAAGTCACCATCTCAACACGGTTAAAATTTATAGAAAGTAAATAAATTTAATGGGTTAAAAATAAATTAATTGTTTAAAAAAATTATAACACGACACTTCACTTTTTCTTAAGAGGCAAGGCTTTTCAAATAGGCATACAATAAGTATGACTGACCTAAGCACGTATATATAATTAATTATATACTGTATAAATTTATCTATCTGCATATAATATCTATCACCTTCGTAGCTAAGACAACAATATACTTATAAATTTCTCTCCACGTGTCCATTGATTGTGGCTGCAATTTTCGTCGTCTCACGTCAATTACATCAATTCCGTTTTTCTACGACTGTGATTTTGCCACGTGGTTGCAAGATAGCGTTAATCAGACGGATGAGTCAGTCCGTCAAATTAAACGTCCGTGCCTTGGGGCTATCAACGTACGCATCTATCTTTGGTTTCAGGTCACTCCGAACCAAGAGACTCGGTTACAGGTGCGGTCTTTTTAGTTTCAACGGTTGAGATTTAATCCATCACGTTGTTCCCATTCCACACTGAGCTGTTCTAAAACCTGTATATAGATAGATAGATACAGAGATATAGAGAGAGGAGAGAGGGTTTATAGCTGTGGTCAATTTCAGTGCGTTTCCAAACGAACGATACGATTAAGGTTTAGATCAGAGAGGTTTAGAGGCCTAGAGAGAGATGTCAGATCACGAGGAGTCTAAGATTGAATCGGTGATGGAGAAAATAACCGAGAAGTTTCACGGCGATTCGTCGTCGTCAGATTCCGACGACGACAAGTCCTCCTCGACGTTGCAGGCGAAGATCTTTCGTCTCTTCGGAAGAGAGAAGCCAGTTCACAAAGTCTTCGGCGGTGGAAAGCGTACGTTCTTAGTCTCACTCGTTTTTTTTCCTAACTTAAAATTTCAGTTTTGTAGTTTTTAATTTGTTTCGTAAATAGACATTTTGGCTTTAATTTATTTAATTTGTACTTCCGGAAGAAATTTTTTGTCGATCATCGGAAAATGTCTATTCACCTATTGCTTCCAGATATATATACATGAATAAACATAGATATACGTACATATATGCGTGTCTTTTATATAAGAATTCACTTGTACTAGTACTCGTTTTGTATTAAATATCGTAAATTTATTTTTTATTTTGTTTTACATAATAATTCTTTGATTTATTTGTTGTTAGCTGTGTTTAATAGTTATCTAGTGAAGTTGCTTTGTGTCTGTTTCATGATCTTTTGTGTGTGTGAATGTAGATCTGGTTGTTCTTGGATCCAACATGAAGTAATTAATTAATGTTTTATGAAACTCCTATTTAAAAGCAGGTCTTTCTCCATTATAAATTGTGCTGATAGGATTGGTTCTGAAAAGGTTGAACTTTTTTCTGTATAAAGTTTTGTGGGGTATGACACCTTTTTCTAAAGTTGAAACTAAACTATAGTATTACTATAAGAAATTTACTGTAATTATATTGTTTTTCCGAGTTTTAGAGGTCCTTAATAGGATATAGTTCTTGATTCTCAAGAATGTAAAATTTCAATAGCCCTTTTTGATTAAATTGGGTCCCACTTAATATACAGGGTGGTTAATTGCTGATTAGAATAGAGGTTGAACGGATATTTTGAAATGGGGACACCCAAAATCATCTGATTTATAGCTACAATCTCTCTATCTCCCTCTATATTATATGCTATATATATTATAAATATATAACACCTACATGGTGTTTTGATGCAGCGGCTGACGTGTTTCTATGGAGGAACAAGAAAATATCCGCTGGAATCTTAGGTGGAGTCACAGCCATCTGGGTTCTGTTTGATTTACTTGAATATCATTTGCTTACTCTAGTCTGCCATTGTTTGATACTTGCTCTGGCTGTCTTGTTCTTGTGGTCCAATGCGACCACCTTCATTAACAAGTAAGACATTGAGATGGCTGTCAAGTCAGCTTTGTTTCAATTCATAATGTATTTGTTTCTTAACTAAATCTCTCTTCATTGTTAGGTCTCCACCGCGTATCCCTGAAGTTAGTATTCCAGAGGAACCAATTCTGGAGTTTGCAGCTGCCTTGAGGATCGAAATAAATCGGGCATTTGCCATTCTGAGGGATATTGCATCAGGGAAAGATCTGAAGAAGTTTCTCTCTGTATGTTTGATTTCTCTCTTGTAGTTTGAATGCAAACTATGCTTTTGTGTCTACAGTTCACATTTGGTTATGCAAAACCCAATTCACAATGAACCTTGGCAGTCTTCAATTTGGCATATTGAAGATTGCAAGACATTTTGACTTTTCAGTTAGTAAAACTGAGAGAATTTTAGTAGTTATGTTGTGTTATGATTTCTATATTTGGATTTAACAATGACCATTTTTATGGGTATGTGCTGTTAATAGGTGATTGCTGGATTGTGGGTCTTGTCAATTGTGGGGAATTGTTGCAACTTCTTGACCTTGTTTTATATAGGTAATTTCAATCCCTAGTTTACAAGTGATGATCCTTTTTGGTGTTTGTTAGTTCTATCATTGATTTTTCGATTTTTTATGAACAGCTTTCGTTTTGCTCCACACGGTGCCTGTGCTGTACGAGAAATATGAGGACCAAGTGGATTCATTTGCAGAGAAGGCAATGGTTGAGATCAAGAAGCAGTACGCAGTCTTTGATGCAAAGGTTTTGAGTAAGATCCCAAGGGGACCATTGAAAAACAAGAAACATTAAGAGTGGCAGAGGAATAGCCATTGTTGGTGGATGTGTTTTCTGAAGGTAGTGTGAGTTGACCATTGTTGTCTGGAACCCTTTACTGTTTTCTTTTCGTTTTTTTGGGTTCACAATATGGATGAATTATGAAATGGATTCTGAATATGGGAACTTTATCTACATTTTTAGCTTATGCTGTAATTGTGGTGGGGGCATTTCAATGGTTATTTAATTTGAATGTTCTGTTGATATTGTTATACTGTGTTAAGAGTGCTTTGCACGTTGATGTTTTGACTAATTTTTTCCTGGAGGAAGTGATCAGGTGGGCTCAATTAGGGGATGCGATACGATTTGGGTTGCTTTCCCTTGGCAGTTTAATTAGTGTTGGGCTTGGGTGGGCTGGCTAAGTCATTTATAATGACTGAGCATATGAAATACCAAAATTACTCCTCAAATTTATCATACCATCAAAATATCAAAATTAGTTCCTAGTAATTTTTTTTATTCCTCTGGGAGGGTGCTACGTGGACTAGACCAGTGCACAACCCTGTAGCGCCAAAGTGCAGGAGGAGGAGATTCAAACTCGATACTCATATTTGGTAGTAGACTTCAGACTAGCCTAGCGGAGTCTACTCGAGGGGATTCATACTCATTTGGCAGTGGACTTTGGACTCGCGAAGGAGATTTAAACTCATATTCAGTAGCGGAGAGTTTCCGTGGAGAAACTCACATCGTTTTTTGTAATGGTTCATATTCGGTAGTGGACTTCAGACTTGCGTAGAGGAGTCTTTGTGGAGAAACTCACATCGATGCTACTCGTATTTTGTAGGGCTGACCAGGAATCGAATTGGTTCGGTTTTGAATAAAATTTAAATCAATTCAGTTCGGTTTTGAATAAAATTTAAATCAATTCAGTCCTTATGGATTGGCTAAATTTGAAACCGAACTGATTCGTGGGGGACTCAATCCGAACCAAACCGATCCGTAAAATAACAGATTAGTTCAGTTCGGTTCTCACAGATTGGGTTTTTCCAAATAGCCCAATATAATTATATTGTAGTTATAGCCCAGCCCAATATATGATTATATTTTTGTTATGGCCCAGCCCAAACAATAAATTTGTCAAAATAGTATTTTGTAACACAAATGTTAATCTAAAAAAAAACAGTAAGAAATAATATATTATAGTATACGTATAATTATATATATAATATAATTCACGGATCGGTTCGATTTTTTTAAGGTTTAATCCGTTAACCTAACTGCTCATATTATGGAACGGATTATTAATTTTTAAAACCATCACCGAACTATGAGATCAAAAAATGATCTGCTCATTGCGGATTGCTAATTTTTAAAATCATCACTGAAACATGAGATCAAAAAATCGAATTGAACCACACGGATCAATTTGGTTCGGATCAATTTGATTAATTAGCGAATTATTTGTCTCTATAGTCTCCGTGGAGAAACTCACATCGATGCTACTCATATTTTGTCTATTTTGCAATGGTCTGTAAACGTTAGAGGTGATTTGCAACATTTTTATATACTTAAAAGGGATATTTGCCATCTATTCTGTAATGGTCCTCATATATATATATATATATATATATATATATATATTTGTATGTCTGGCAAAATATCTCCTAAGGAATTTAGCAAAAACATCAAGTTGGAGGGGAATTTTTGCAGTTTACGAAAGCATTTGAGAATTCGAAGAGAGAACGCGAATGCAAGTACCACTCTTTGAGTTTAGGAAGAACAAAGCAAGGGAGGGAAAAAGACTTCCCTTTCCCTTATTTGGTTCAAAAAAAAAAAATCATATAGGGATGGCAATTTGACCCACCCCGCCCCGTTTTTGACAGTTTTGGAGGACCGTTTAGCTTATTTGAGTGAGGATGGTTTAATGTAATAAAAACTCCCGCGGGTTTGGTATAGCGTACCGCCCCGCCCCGTTTAGATAAACAAATTACTTAAATATCTTTATTTCATTAGTATATATATTTCCCAATATATATATTAAGTACCCTATATAACAATATTAAAGTAACAAATGAATTTGATTGGAAGGAAAATTGCAATGGTGATGAACTGAAGATGAGGGGAAAAAAAAAAAACACAAATCTATTTCAACAATAAATAAATTATGATCTTAAACAGGACAGAGAGAGTACCTGCGGGGACAGAGTTTTTTAATGGTTGCGTCGGCAGTGACGGAGTCGGAGTTTTTTAACGGTTACGGGGACGGATACACCCGCCCCTGTTGCCATCCCTCTCTACCTCCCAAATTAGGAAAGAGGAATGACCTTCCACCTTTTCCTTTCTCTCTCCTCCTTTTCCTTCCATTGAGACAACCCGAGTGAGACATCATCTATGCCATCTTTTTAACTTGAAAAATTATCACTTTCTCATCCCGGTTTTCATCAAGCTTGTAGGATAAAGAGTGTCTTAAAGCCCTCCTTAGTTCCCTTATTTTGCACAATACTATGTTAAAAGGGCAGACCTAATTTCCCCCACTTTTGCAGCTTTCAGTTCCTGACTTGATGCTCAATTTTTTTATAAAAATTTATAAAAAAAATAAAGAGTACTTCCGAAGGTGTTTTAAATGTCGGACATGCTGTCGGGCGGGTTTCGGGTAAACAATCCTCCTTTAGAGCTCGTTATCTCTTAATTTGAAGGAGCTTTCCATGTAGCCTGGTTTGTGAGATTGAAAAGAAAATCCACATCTTTCTTCCTTTATTTCAACCATCGGAGTAGTGATCCGGGGGTTAGGATTTGGGGGAGGGGGGGGGGCGTGTTGGCTTCTGTGTATGGGATAGCTCCTTTACTTAGAACCCCAAACGAGATCATTATGTTTTTGTGGCCATTGGAATATATCTAATTCATTAGATCTACTTCAAGGATTTGATTAAAGGTATTTATCAGTATGCAATTTTCAACTTAATTTCAACTATTATCAACAGTGAGCCTTAAAGTGAAGCAGGCTGACAAAAGCAAAACCTAAAGCAATCTAATCTCTCCAAGTTATTAATACAGCTTCTTATCTTCAAATACTTTGCACAAAATTGGATTGATATTAATTTCAATGGATTATCAGAATACACCCAGAAGATATGTTTAGTAACAAAACAAGGACAGAAAAATGAGGTGGCATTAGAATTGAACAGTCCAGTACCTGTCAACCGGATGCCATTTTTACTGCACACATCCTCAAACATGCCATGTCTGAGCTCACCCTGGAAGATTGAACTACACATGGTAGTTCATGCCCACCCCGATCAAACTGATATGAGGAATGGTCAAGGTTACAGCAGGTGCCCGGCAGTTTTTTCGTAGGAAAGAGTATGCCATATTAATTACAAACTTCTTAAAGAATGACGAATTCCTTCTTGCCTTTATACGTGAATGACCAATTATATATGCTACCCCAGCACGCTTAGCTTCCACTAACTCAGAGAGCTCTTCCTTGACATGTGAATCCATATAATCTGTATCTGGCAATTTAAACTGGACGCGTCGTCTGTGGCTCAGATGGGGCGATTCCTGCTCATACATAGACTGCAACTTCTGCAACGTGACTGACTTGCCGTTAGTCACAGTGGTTAGAAGACTTGAACTGCTACTTTCTTCGATGCCAGCACCTTCTGACATCACCAATCTTGTCCCGAACTTTTCGGATGTCCTCACAACTGCCATCCGGCCATCCACAGATCCATCTATAGTTCCAGAACCAGAACCTTCTGCTTCCAGTTTGATGAACTCTGCTAAGCACGTCACAAGATGGTTCTCAAAATCTTCTTCTTCCTTGTGGACATCTTTGTAGCCATATCGAACAATGCAACGATACATCCGGTAAGCTTTGGGTCCAATCCGACCAATCAGGTATCGTTCCTTATGGGAGACATAAGGAACAAGAACAGACTTGACACAAACGAAGATGACCACCTGGTGAATAGCTGGTAAATTGGTTACAAAATCAGAAAATATGGCTGGAACTCCAGTTGCCAACTCGGTGTAGATGAGACCAATTCCAGGAACTCTAACTATCCCAAGACTGGGACCTAATGTGAGTATCCATTTCATTGATACCTTGTTTTGCAGGTCATATAAATACTTCCGCCTGGTCCCATAGTGCCACACGTGCATAATTAACATCAAGACTGAAGAAAGCACAAGTGGGACCCAACCACCTCGAGGAATTTCCATACAAGAAGATGAGAGGTAGATGGCCTCAATTGATCCGAAGAATAAGAGAAATAAAAGGGAAATTATAAGATTCTTATGCTGTACAAAGATGATGACTAATGACATCAAACATGTTGTCACCAATGCGTCAGCGATGCATGCAATCCCTGAAATCATATACCACAAATAAATTTCAATACAAACAATGTGACAAGGGTTTTAGTATGTTTGGTTACTATTCTTCTACAGAGTAATATATAGCATATGATTAATATCTAGGCCAATACAACAACAAAAGAGGGTGGGGCTGGGTTGCAAGACCCACATTTGATAGGTGAACCAAAATAGCACCAACCAAAAATCCGAAGTGTATTGAGCATTACATATTGACCTTGATGTACATACATTGTGAGCAGTGTTATTGCAATTTGTGAGGGGTCATACATTAAGCATCCTGTACTCCAAATGTGAGTGTCCCTCTTAGGGATGTAGATGGATCGAACACTCAATTATATTGCCCAGAGTTCTACCCTACTCGCAGCTGCTTCATGCAAAAAGAGAACACCTACATAGTACTACTGATGTCTTCTTTATACAGAAGGAAGAACTTTGGAAATTCAAAATTTATGTTAGTAAATTTTCGGGGAAAAAAAATTACGGTGGTACAACACAAACGCAGATATACACACACGAAATCAACAAATATATACACAGATGAAAGGTAAAAAGTATATAAACACGCACAAACGGATACCCTTTCAGCAAGATGATTAAATAAAATTATCATGAGATCAAGTGGGTAAATAAACTTATTCATTACGTTACTTGGCTGCTTCACTGGAATTTCCCAACTCCCTAGGCAGGAAATGAACAGTTTAGGTTCTTATGAATGGAAGTTCAGGTGCAAAATTCCTTTCAAATGAAGTACCAAGTATCAGTTTCTAGTTTCAATATCATCTATGCTTATTGTTTTGGATTACACTATTTACCATTTATTGAACACTGCTTTAAATCAGCTTGCAATATATTATTCTAAACTAATCAGAAAATTCAGGGGAAAAGACTCCAAGTTATGACATAAAAAGTGTTCATACATTTATGCTACTAGACTCAGCATATATATGCACATATACACATTGAATTAGACTTCTAGATTTAAAGACTCATTTAAACAAAGAAAGCTTACCATAAGCATTTGCTATCAGGGTTGTCTTCCGAAAACCAGCAGTGACAGTCAAACAGAGAATCATAAGGATCCAGTTCATTTCTGGTATGTATGTCTGACCAATCCATTTTGATTTGTGCACAACCTTGATGCGGGGAAAACATCCTAATGCATGGCATTGTTTGACAATTGAGAATGTGGCAGAAATGACAGCTTGACTGGCAACAATGGCTGCCAGAATTGCAATCACAAATACCGGCCAAAATACTGGATCTACAAAATACAAGAACATTGATAAAATTATATATAAAGATATAAATATATATGTGTGTGCGTGTGTGTGTGGTTCCTTTATATTATTCATAAAGAGGCTCGAAGAGATATTATGGGATGCATATTTGTTCAAGAATGATAAAGGAGAAAAAACATGGGCGAATTTGGAAAAAAGCCAGTCGATATTAATGAGAAGTTTTTGAAGTGAAGAATATTGCTGCAGAATAGGTCCATTCCCTCTAAACAAAGACATGATAGATGTATCCTATCACCTCCTTAGGTGCACAATTATTGGACTCTACCGGAAATTCTGTCAAAAAGAAACCTTCAGCAGTGCTTAATGCTTGTAATACTTCACCTGGAATTGACGCATAGAAGCTTGAAGATATTGAAGAGAAGTTCTTTGAAATAAATGCAGCTTGCCCCATGAATTGAAGCACCAGACAGGGGTAAACAACACAAGAAAATGAAATCTGCAATAGCAATAAATCTTTAGAGTTTGACTTGCATTGGTGAGCCCAGTACATGAAGGGACACAAAATGACAAAACCAAATGGAACTACTGATCTAAACCACAAATATAAGCAGTAAAAGCCAATTGTTGTTGTTAGGGTAAAATTTCAGCATAAGTTTTTTTTCCCCTGAATAATTTCAGCATAAATTTCAGTTATCAAAAGAAATCATTTAGAAGTTCAGTCAACTATAGATCATGAAGAAGCTTCTTTTTCAAAAAATCAAACCACACATAATCATAATACAAGGATTGGGTTCCACCATTCCATCAATTCAGTATATCAGCAAACCAACTATAATTGTTCTTTGGAATATTTTTACTTTTTTGGTAACTAAATCTGCTTTTGCAATTCCCTAATGTTTTATTTACATTTCCTTGTTTTTTTATAATATAAAAAAAAAAGGAAAAAAAAAAAAAATGATTTTTGTATTGATATCGAGTCATCGACGTCAATTAAATGATCAATCCATCATCATTTCTCATTATTTTAGGACCTCGAGATAACATTGACATTTAGAACCTGGGAAGCAATATGATAATATTGAACTTTGAAGAGGAATAAGTGGTCCACTAGTTGTAAGATGAAAAATAATGAGTATTAATTCATCAATACTGAAGATTAATTTCTTAATAATACTTTCATCCTGAGCAACCATAAAAGAAGAAACCAATGCTTAGACCCATGTCAAAGAATCTCTAAACATTGCTGCAAGTTATAAGTATTAATGTGACTAGTAGGTTTTCTTTCATGACTTCAAACTTCAAAGCATGAATAATTGTCATATTTAGCAATCACTGGCTTCCATACCCTTATTGATGCAGTTGTGAAGTGCCCAAGGCCCAGAAACATAGATCCAGTTCCTAAAGATGACAAGAAGAACCTACGTTAGTTCAGCAACTCAATTTAAATAAATAAATAAATAAAAACGGTTAATGGACTACAACTGCGTCATTCACCGGCTGTACAAAGAAGTATTCCTCCAAGAGAAAGCCAACCATCTTTTCCAGTGTTCCTAAAGAACTTGTAAATATAATATGGAGAAAGAGCCTCATATATTCTTGGGTTCCACTCGATGATATTATAGACGCCAATAGCAGCAATACACAGCAACCATACGATTACAATTGGAGAAAACAAGAAGGCCACTCTATAGGTGCCGAAATGCTGCAAAGCAAAGAGGCCAACCAAAACGACACAAGCAATAACAACCACAATACCTGTGTAGCATGCATAAGTGTTAGCACCCTGAACAACAACAATGCTAATACAATGGCAAAAGATTTCAAGTAGAGAAACTCCGAAATTTTCCCTTCCCACTCTTCCTAGGTAGCAAGTTTATAGCATTGGCACTGATGACCAGAAAGAAAGACATGCACTGATGCCTTATCTTTTCTTTATATATATATATATATATAGTTCTATTACTGTTATTATTATTATCATTACTATTATTATTTTTGGAATAATTTCTATTACATATAATTCAAATTGGAGAGTATGCATAAAGGGATCATAGTGAAAATGCAAATGTCGATATGGATATGCAGCGAGACAAGAAAAGGTAGAACTAGAAATGAGCACGTTCATGAGACGGTTGAAGGGGCATCATTGGTGATAAAATGAGAGAAAATGATTAAGATGATTTGGATACATGGAAAACCAGTAAGTGTACACCAGTTAAAAAGAAAGGCATGCTCCACATTGAGGGTATTGCTAGGAGAAAGACAGTGGCAAAATTAACATGGTAAGCGTTACAATTGAAAAATATGATAATATGTGGTTTGATTGAGATATTGAACTAAGATAGAGCAGAATGGAAAAATAGGTTTCATCTAGCCAACCTCTGGTAGTTGGGAAAAGACTTTGTTGAGTTGAGTATGTCATGTCTAGAAAGCTTTTGTCCATTTCATATCGTAGCCTCTACCACCAAAAAAACACATTTTATATCCCTTTAAAAAATTATCAGAGCTTTTCCAAGAAATTAGAGCCATCCTTCTTTTTTACTTCAAATATTTTATGAATAAAATTTTGTTGTCCACTTCAACTTCCACGTTTCTATTATTCAAAACTCAAAAGTTTGGCTTTTGTAAAAAAAAAATAAAAAAAAAAATAAAAATGTTTAAAAAAAATGTTGATGTCACGAGATAAATCTCCCAATCATGGACCATCTCTCTCTCTCCCTCCACCCCCACACACTAAAATGCGTCTTGACTTCCTATGGTAAAATTCACGTTGAATTTGGCATCTGCAAATGAAAGGGGGTTTAAATAAAATTAGGATTTTCATGCTACCTTTGTAGAGCGGAGAGGCAGAGAAAGAAGTTAGAGATGGGATGATGGATGAGACATTCCTCTTTACCTATCAATTTGCTTCTGTCCAGAACTAGATGGAAGAGGAAAGAGAAAGAAGGATATTTATTGAATTAAATTTAAAAGGATGTTATTAAGCTCATTTATTAACTCCATGTTATATTGTGAGGGTTGTAGTAGTAAAATAATATTCAAAATCTCCTCTTCCCTTCCCTCGTACCAAACAGTGGAAGGTCTCACCACTTTCCTTGCCTTCAACTTGACCAACCAAAGGGAGAAAAAGAACCTTCCCTTCTCTAGAGATGTCTCTTCCATTCCTCCTCCTTACCCTTGCATCCACTATTAAATCTTCTACATTGTTCCCCAAGAGAATTAGCCATCATGATAATATTTTTTCCATTGTTCCCATAACTTTTGAATATGGTGGTCAAGCCTTTGATATGATTTAATTTTTGGTTCGATGTCTTAATAAGCACTTGCTTTTAAATATCATTTTTAGATTGTAAAACTGAAAAGTTCCACTCACTGTGATGCGGTCTCTCAGTTTGAACTTGCAGACCTTCAATGGATGCCAACACTGCAAAAGACCAAATATCTACTAGTGTGAGTATATTAGTAATGGAAAGACAAAGGGAATCATATGGAAATGAAACAGTTTGATCCCAAGTGGATTCTAAGAGAAGCTTGAAAAGGTAAAGACAATGTTATTACCAGAAATTGAAGGTGTGAGGACTCCATAACCAATCATTAGGCACGCACCAAGTAATGCCATAAGAAGTAAAACATTTCTAGTCTTCTTATGTTTCTCAACAAATCTTTTCAGTGGAGAGGAAGGCGTATTCCTGTTTATGTAGCCAGGTTTATGATATGTAGATATCTCCTCGTCTGCTGCTTGATGATTAGGCAGTAAACTCAATTTGACATGTCTACAAATGAGTGAATACAAAGCAATAGGTCCTCCTGTAAATAATGTGAACAAATATTTAAGCATAAAACCATCAAAGATAGAAAAGGGAAACAGACTTGTAGCATCATCTAAAAGCTTATCATCTCTTACCTTCACCATTATCATCTGCATTTAACGTAATGATCACATAGTTGAACAATGGAAGAAGCGTGAGAGTCCAAAATATCAAGGAAAATGCCCCAAATATCACATACTCATTTTGGTGATGTTGCAAGTTCCCAGAAAATGTACTTCTATAAACATAAAGAGGGGAAACGCTCAAGGCACCATACGCTAAGCCAAAGCTCTGATATGCTAAAAGGAGAACATGTTTATGTTGACTTTTACGTTCAACCTGCTTGAACAGAAACAATGTACTGCATAAATGTTATGAATCAACAATATTCCATAAATCAACTGAATCCCAACTCAGACCATGTTCACAAGCTCATTGGAAGATATATATAGGTCAATATGCTAGTTACATGAAGGGTAATTGAATAGGTTGATGCATCAAAACCATTCACAAGCAAGGACGGGAGCAACATGGGGCCCAGTGGGAGCAGCTGCCCCTGCTCGATTGTCTATTTTAACCTTGCATGCATGTTTTAGAATAAGTGCAAAATTCACCTTATAAACTTTTTTCCTTATTCTTCAAAATTATCCCACCTCTGTCCCATGAATCAATCCTTCTTTTTACCCTTCTCACTCTCAAGATCCCTTTGTAACTCTCTCCCCTCCACTCTAGAATTAAGACCTAACGTCTGTTTCCAAAAGAGTGCTGAATTAAAAACTTATCTTTTAAATTTTGACCCATAATACTGCAGGATTCCTCAAACAGTGCTCTGCTATAGCAGGCAGCATGTAATGTCTAGGTAGTTTCAATGGATACCTAACCTAAACAACAGGAAGAAAAATGTTAACTCTATTCAAGAAAGATCTATCTGCATCTAATCCTTTTCTGCAATTCAGCTAAATCTAGAGCCATAACTTCTATTCACGGGCTTTCGTCTTTTACCTCACAATTTTTCACTCTTCATTGCCTTCCACTCACCTCATTTCATTTTAAAACTGAATCAGAACATCTATGATTTGCTTAATATCCAGAAACTTTGTCCTAACTTGATTATTCATTACATTTTTCTTGTTATGCCATTCATTTATTTTAACATCCATTTTCAGTCGCATACCATAGACCACAACTGGCCTAGTTCCCAATATAAGTAGTTGTTTTGTATTGGGTTAGCGATCCTAAATCATACAACAACTAAAAAGCACTTCCCTCCACTTCTTTTTATTGTAGTTTTATTCTATGGGTAAAATTTGTTAAAATATCCTCCTCCTGATGGATAATAAAATCCAAAAGGAACACTTTTCAGCTATAATATAAAGAAAGACAAATCAGTGTTGAAAAAAGAACAAGCTGCTTAAAGGGGCTATCCATAGAACCGACTACCGAAGTTCTAAACTAACTCCTTGTAAAGAACATATCCTAAAAAAAAGGTGTAGCCAAATGAGTTCACATCTAATTACTCATCATTCTTCAAGTATCAGGAAAGAAAAAGACATCATATGCCAGAAAAAGAGAGACGCAGCAAAACAATAAATTACATGTACAAAACAACCAAAAAAAATCAACACTTCAGTTTCATTTTCAGTTATACGCACCTTAAAATTGCACATCAGTCTCCTAAGGTGATATATGTAGATAGAGTATGAACACTTCATTTTTATCAGGTGATACCTTAAAACCTTGAAATTCGTAGAAATTCAATAACTTAAGCATCACAAAACCTAAAAAGATACTTTGATTGATTGATTTTCCATCAAGATCTCGCACATGAGATGGGCATATATAGTCAATCTTTTTAACCTAATTTTAACATCAAAATTATCTGTACAAACCACATTGTCCACACGCACACAATTTCTCACAAATTTATGTAATTAGGATTTATATAAATATTCAAATCGCTCACTTTGTTGACGCAATTCAACATTTCTCGCTGTATTGATTAGATCAATTTCTCACATATTAGAAACATATATGTATTGAAATATATATATATATATATACACACACGCATGCCGAATATAGGGTTTCTAAGACCATACCATGGCTGCACAGTGAAGGCTCTGTGTCGTTTATTTTTTTCCGAGGTCAAGAGCTTCGCCAACACTGGAAGACGAGCGAATATACATGAAGATGATATATATGTATGTGTGTGTGTGTGTATGCGCTGGCATATACAAAAGGGTGAGTCGAATCAGCCAGATGTCGTAACTAATTCCAATCTCGGTATACTGTGAGAGGCTGCGTGTGGTGAAAGTGGTGAATGGGGGCCCTGATAAACTATATAGTTAATTGCGAATTTATCCCCTGATTTTTCAGAAATAACTCTTTACCACTTCAGATGAGTTATGTTATTCAACAGTAGTATTTTACATTATTATCAAAGGAATCATCCTTTGAGGGTTTAACAACTAGACTTCCCATGTAGTTATACTTAGTAAGGACATATCCAACATTATAATCGTCCAACATTATAATCGTGGAATAGATTTAACAATACTTCGATAATTGAATGTATCTCATATGAGTTGTAGCAACATCTCATTAATATGAGACATACTATTATCAGTAGTTATCAAATTTATAATTTCTTTTAAAAATATTTAAATCTTCTGTATAATTATAATATGCATCCATTGTAATATATGAATATATGTTACACACCATAAAGACATGTGCCCTGAAGAATAAGTCAATTTGACCATTTTGCCAGTTATGTACCATTTGACATCATCCATCTAAATGCCTCGAGAAAACTAATTAAAAAATCAGAACAATGTCATAAATCTTTGTTAGAATAGCATCTCAAAATCTACCCGAGATTCGATTGTAGTTGATTGGTTTATAATTTGCTTGGGAGAAGTTTGAATTCCATCCACAATCTGTTGCAATTTCATTCCATTTTGTGTTGTAATTGCTACAAAGGAATCCTTTTGTAACTATTTTGACTTCAACTTGGAGTTCTTATTCTTTCCACTTCTGATTTCCTTTCCCTTTAGAACTTTTCTTTACAAATCCTTTTCCTCTAGAAGCAAAAAGGTATTGAAGGTAAAAGAATGATGCTTAGGCTAACATGGCCGATCTTTATTTTTTCCTTTTCTGGGTAAGTGGTGGGTTGTATAAATGTGTAAAATATGTACAATGTACAAAAACAGGCATAAACCTGACCAAGAGAAGAACAGGAGTCAAAAAAAAAAAAAACCACAACCATACAAGCCAACAAACAGATCCCAGGACCAGCAAACTATCCAAAATAAATACAGATGTGGACCTGGGCCTAACCCAAAAGCTTTATAGAGAATCTAATGGAATTGAAGAACCATTTTGGCACTTAATGCTACTCGCAACGCCTTGTTGTTGTCAGGCCACTCTGCCTATTCGGGGTGGCACACTCGGACTCCTTCAAATAGAGCATTTGATGTAATACCGGATCAAGGATTAGGTCTAACACCCAATCCATATGTACCCATTTCACTTCCCATCCGGATCCAACGTGGGACAAAACTCCCGTTGTAACACTAGGTTTAATGCCTTAATACAAGAGCTAGCAGCCACTGCTGAATCTTTGAATTGCAATGAAACTAGCCTGCATCTGATTGTGTTCTGAATTACATTCAGAACTTTAGATGCTGATAGACTAGCTCTAGAATTTCTCTCTCCATATATATATACATATAAATATATACGTGGAGTACACAGAGCAGGCCAACAACAATTTGTTAATGAGAACTGAACCACTGTTACTAATCCATCCAACAACTAAATAACTCCAATTAGGAGGATAAATGTGAAAACCTCCAACACACAGTGGCAAAATTCAGCATTTGAGAAAAAGATGGGACATTGATTCTGCATCTGAGTTGCATAAAAAGCAATGGCCAATCTTCCATCAACTGACAATTAAGTTTTGTCCCGTACATGCTCGTGGAAGTATACCATTTTGATTGTTGCCAAAAAATGCTTTAAAAGTCGACGAATGTAATTGCGTTTAACGTCACGTTTGATAGAGAAGTCTGTGATTGATCCCTTGAAGAAGATGGATGCCAACTGCCATATTCTATAACAGCCTTGGAAATAATCTGTCTTAATCAAAATGACAAAAATGATAAAACCAATTAAAGTACCCAAACTGGTTAAATCAGTAATCTTCAAGTGCTAAGAATGTAATTACAAATCAATAGGCCAAAAAAAATATAAAATAAAAACTAATCATTATTTTTCATCCCAAATTGCACTGCTAATATATAAAACTTATGATGTATTGATCCTAATTACACAAGTAGTTGTATGCTGCATTTGCAGCTAACCATGTACATGAATGTGGTGAGGCAAAATGCCCAGCAGAGCTTGGTGGCGGAATCAGTATCCTGTCCATTCTTCTACTTCAATCCTGTCTCGCACAGCTGAACTTTTCAGGCAATCCCATGATTTTTCAGGAAGTGTAGGCAATCCCATGATGCATCACAGGGTGTAGAGAAAAGATATAACAGTTCCTGGGACTTCTTTCATCAGTGAGTCCAGATTCGATCATTGCCAGTTTGGTGCAAGCTTTAATATTCTGCCTCCGTGTGCCTTAAGCGTGAATAAAGCTTTTGTCACCTTCGATAATCTCACGTCAACCCTGAATATATAGTTGCTTTATCCCTTGAATATATTCCAATAATCTTATCTCATTTTTACATGTAATGTTTTTTTCTCAGCAATGCTCCAGCTCATTTAAAGGTATTTGTGAAACAGTAAAGGCATATATTACAAAACTCCTGAAGAGATATATGCCTTACAATTTATTTTATATTGAGAAGAGAGAGAAAAACGTATTTCCTCCATCTCAAACTAGTTGGGCACTTCGGGAACTGTGACTCACATTGTTGGGATGGAGGGAGAAATACGCTTCTATCATTGAGATGAGTATAGGAAAGAGAAAACAATGAAGATGAGAAATTGTAATATATTCCTCAATGTGATGATTTTAACTACTCCTATGTGCATTAGACTAAAATTTAGGCCTTTTCAGTGTTGCAAGGTAATATTCCCACATGAAGTAAGGAGGCTTCTCTAGATGAGGCCCCAACTTGTTAACCCAGTGACAATCATAGATTGAATATGATAAACTGCCTCCCAAAAACTAAAAAACATATAGATGATGCATATATGCATGAATCATCCACCCGAGTTTGTCCACTAAAATTTTGAATTTTCTTCTAATGTTGAATTATAATGACCACTACCATCACCAACACCGCCACATCCAACATGGAAAGATACTTTGAGAGAGCAAACGTGGCGGTTGAGAACCTCATAGGCCTTAATCTTTCATTGTCAGATTCTAATGCTCCATCTATGCAAAATTATTGAGGTTGGGCATCTTTTTATCCGAGTTTTTAGGTGCATCTTTTCTTCTATTATTGTTGAATTATTCTTTTGCTCTATATATCATATACTGACTTGACATACTTTCTCCTACTAGTTGCATCAACAATTGAGTCACACTCTCTTCTTTAAATCGATTTCTCCTTCTCCTATTCAATCCATCACAAAACTCAAATACCATTACTTCACTCAATCTCACCCCTGCAGCTCTGGGTGGCCTTACTAGCAAATTTTCTTCTTGTCCATTCAACTGGTTCACTTGTATTGTGCAAAGCACTTATTTGTCTTGAACAGCTTTACTATCTATTCAAGAAGGCTTGTCAACTGTCTTCTGACAACAGCTGGAAGAGTGCTTCATTGGAAAATGAATGGCAAAAAGGGTAGTTTTCACTTTCAGATCAACATTCCTTCTATTACCAAAGGTAAACTGCCGGAAACTGAGCAGCAGTCCGGCAACCAGAGCTTCTCATGGAAAGGCTCGATTAGGAATGTTTGGGAATTTTGCAAAGAGGATAGCAACAGAGTAATATTCTCATTTAAAGTGGGCCTTGCTGTTCTTCTTGTGTCTTTGCTCATACTATTCCAAGCACCTTATAATATATTTGGCACCAACATCATCTGGTCCATCCTCACTGTCGCCATCATGTTTGAATACACCGTCGGTATGTATATGCAATATATTACACATGCACATATATTCATTCTAAAGCTATAGACAGTCCTAAAATAAGGGCGTCCCATTAGTCATACCAATGCATTTTCTACAAGAAATAGATCGTGTATAACAAACATTTTTTTTTCCTAGTTCTGTATAACAAACATTTATTTACATGCACAAACAAAAGAATTCGAACATATACTGAATTATGGAAATGCATTCTACATACTACTATAATTGGTGAATTATAGCTTATGTACTTCTGGTTATATTTGGCAAAATTCACATGCACGCAAAACTAAATTCTACCATCCTGGGCATATGCAAAGCTTAACTTTATTATGGATATTTATCTCCTAAGGTGCAACATTTAATCGAGGATTTAACCGTGCACTTGGAAGCTTGCTTGCGGGGATCTTAGCCATTGCTGTTGCTCAGTTGGCCTTAAGTGCTGGTAGAGTTGCAGAACCTTTCATAATTGGTATCAGCATTTTCCTCATTGGTAAGTCACCTAAAATTTTCCAACTATAAACGAAATAATTCCAAATATTTTGTTAAGAAATCTTGTTGAATATCTTAAAGGGGCTGTCACATCTTTCATGAAGCTATGGCCATCCCTTGTGCCATATGAGTATGGGTTCAGGGTCATACTTTTCACCTACTGCTTAATCATAGTTTCTGGATATCGGATGGGCAACCCAATTAAAACATCCATGGATAGGCTCTATTCAATTGCCATCGGAGGGATTGTAGCAGTTCTAGTCAATTTGTTCATATTTCCTATATGGGCTGGTGAGCAGTTACATAAGGAGCTAGTTAATAACTTCAATTCAGTGGCTGACTCACTTGAAGGTAAACTAATTTTAGTACTTCCACTGTTCCTTTCACTTCACACAACACTACAAATATATATATATATATATATATTATAGACTATGGTTATATCCATTTATCTGCCCCAAGGTTTAAGACTGTAAGATTAGCCCTCATGGTTTCTTTAATATTTTATAGTATCTGTTATTAACATTTTTATCTGGGTAATTGCAGAATGTGTTAGGAAGTATTTGGAAGACGACGGATCAGTTCATCCAGAGTTCTCCAAGACTGTCATGGATGAGTTTCCAGATGAACCTGCTTACAGGAGATGTCGATCAACATTGAACTCCTCTTCAAAACTAGAATCCTTGGTACTTATTTGCAAGTTAATTTGGATAGTTCTGCATATTAACAGTTGTCCTTTTTCATTTATTTATTTTTTATTTTAAATTTTTTTCTGGTTCCATTTCCAGGCTAATGCAAGTAAATGGGAGCCACCGCATGGCAGGTTCAGACATTTCTTCTATCCATGGTCAGAATATGTTAAAGTTGGTGCAGTTCTACGATATTGTGCATACGAGGTTATGGCACTTCATGGTGTTCTTCATTCTGAAATTCAGGTCTGTGTTTTCTCTCTCAATAGTCTGTTTTATTACAAGGTATATATCATATGATATGATGCATCTCCATTGTCCACTTAACTGAATCAATACCCTTTCCCAACTCCCAACTGTAAGCAAAAATGCCGACAACTCAGGAATATACCAAAAGTGATGTTACAAGGTCTAGATTCCTCGGGGCAATTGGGTGAGAAAAAATACTCCTGATGGTCTAGAAAATGAGAAGTGGGAAATGGGGAAAGAATAGGTCTAAGAATCAAATAATTAGGAATCATATGGCGTGTTTGTTCTTATGCTGTGGTCTATTATTACTTTTTATAAGAGCATGTGGAACCGGAATATTTTGACTCCTTTTTTTGGGGGGGTGGGGGGGGCAACAAGGGAAACATTCCTAAATACACAACTTTTAGGTTATTCTCTGAACATAAACCACCTTCTTAATTAATTGGAATACTTTCACACCAATAGAAAGATTCTACTAGGTTTATATCCAAAAACAGAAATGGATTTTAAATGAATTGAAGCAAGCAGTCAACTTGCCAGGCTGAGTTCAAGGTACACTATCTCTCAACACAAGCATTGCGTTCTTATAGTGACTATTAACTAACCCTTCTTCTGCATATACTTGTAAGCAAGTGAGCTCTATATCTATGGCATCAACTGTTAATCAGCAACTGTAACAAATTTCAGAAGGTTACCTTAATTCCTCATCAGTCCTTGCTGCACTCAACCTGTCTTAGATGTAGCAAAAACCCCTTCATTGGTAGTTCGATGATGCCAATTTGTTGCATCTACAGCAAACTCAAGAACCTAGGCTGCAGAGCAAGACAACGAAAAATATGATAAGAGCATTAGTGCATTTTAGTCCATATGATGGTAACTGCATACCAACCTGACCTTCTGAAATTGCGAAAGTAGAAAGCACTGAGCTTCGCTTCACCTTGCACGTTTCGTTCTGTATGAGACTAAACCAAGACAAGAAAAATCAAAATATCGTGGGACTGAAATAATACTAATTTCATATATTGTAACATCCAAAATTAAAATAAACTAGATGCTACAATCATTCAGTGCTGATGAGCTAAGGAACTCGTTCTGTATATGTTTGTTCAAATATTTTCCGAATTACAATTGATATACATATCTTGTTATGTTTTTTTAGGCCCCCTACAATTTAAGAAACACGTTCCAGACAGAGATCAAAGAAGCGACAAGCCAGGCTGCAGAGCTGGTTAGATCCTTAGGCAAAGACATCAGTAACATGAAGAAAGCCCACAAAACCCCTCTTCTACTAAAAAGGGTTCACATCTCAACCGAGAGACTCCAACAAGCTATAGACATGCATTCTTATCTCCTCACATCCAATTACGACAACCTTGATAACTCCTCCAAGCCACTCCCTAAGCTCTCTCACACCCTGTCATCTACACTTTATGACCTCTCAAATCAATTTCCTGAGCTTGATAACACCACTCTTGAACAGAACTTGAATCCACCTACCCAAACCACACCATCCGGGACACTTCCACCACCACTGGCAGAGTCTTATCATGAGACAATGAGGAAACAATCAAGAAGGCTCCATTCGTGGCCATCCAGAGAAGTGGATGCTTTTGAAGAAGAGGGAGGCTTTACTGCAGACTTTATTCCCAGGATGCGGGCGCTAGAAAGCACTGCAGCACTGTCGCTTGCCACATTTACTTCATTGCTTATTGAATTTGTTGCTCGGCTCGATCACTTGGTTGAAGCAGTTGATGAGCTTGCTAAGATGGCCAGGTTCAAGCATGAGGTTCTATAAAAGAGGGGAGAACTACACATACCAAATTTGATAATACTAGTTGTGTACAAGAGATACATTGAATAAGAAAAAGAAAGATAAAATTAAAAAAAAAAAAATTAAGAAAACTGAAAGAAAAAAAAAAAAAAAAAAAATTGTAAGGAGTGACCCTGAAAATCACCATCGCGAACCAGAAATAAAGCATTAATTCTTGAAAAAGAGAGTGTTGTATTGTTTTGAGAATAACATGTTCTCAAGGTATCGGATGCTCCACATAGCTAATTAGTTCTTCAATGATACATGAATGAGACCAGTGAGCTATGTCACTCAACATTAAAGGTCATTACTTAGTGTTGCGCACACTAAGGTTTGGATACAAATCTAACCTTTGGACCTTCAGACTCGAACACCAGTTCAGAAGTTTGCCCCATCTTTTACCACTGTTCCAGTTAATGGTTCCTTTGTGATCTGGTACTGTTACATAAAAATTAATGAGATTTTGTGCTGCAATACATAAATAATTGAATATGGCTGGTACTTCCTCACCTTCCAAAGTAGAAGATTGAGAGTTCGAGTAGTTCTTTATAATGTTGAAAGAACTATTTACGTTTTTTTACTTCGTCACCCATGAGAGTAAATACCATATGGTGTATTAAGGGGAAAAAACTATATGGTGTAATACCAATTCAAAATCTAGGAGAAGCTCTTTCTAAATGCACACAAGTTAAAATGGTGATGACATGGCTGAAATTGTCATTTAAAGCAATGTCTAATTCTATGATGAGATGAAATGTTCTCAGACATCAAGGAAACCATGATACCAACGGGCCTGTGGTCTAGCGGTACAAGGCTCCTACTTTCCGAAAGGAGGTCAGGGGTTCGAACCTCAGTGGAGGCAGTGTGTGTGAGTCCCAATTAAAAAAAAAAACACATGCTAAAGCATTTACTTGTTGAAAGAAAAGGTTTAATTGATTTTCCTCTGCTAATTTTAGCTCTTATACACACACACACCCACCCACCCATATATATGGATCCAAGACTAATATAAAGGTAAAAGTAGTGTTTACTAGTATTGCAGCACACTGTCAAAGGATTTCAATGAAGAAGGTAGAAAACATCCACGATAAAGCATTAATAAACTATTAGGCGAGTTAAGGATGAACATATAAACATAACTTACGGCCTCCAATTGCTGACTGAATTCCTAGCTTTCATAATACCTTAACGAACATATCTATTTAACAGTAGAAAGACAAAAACTTGGCTATCCTTACCGGAATGGAAATCAAGTGTTGAAGTTTATAGTGTTTTTAGCCATCTTTAAGAATATCGCATTACAGTTGTTTAATGTGAACACTTAGAAGTAGACAAATAATCTCAAGTGCAAATAGTGATAGCTAATTGTATCTCCAGATAGTTTAAGAACAAGAATTATGATATCTTCACTTCCAATGCAGTCACAACTGGAAAAAAAATTCAGTCTGATGAAAGTAGAGGTCCCTTTCCCTTTTGTTCACTGCAATCTGGTGTATTCTGCAACTGGAGATTGTTGTATGCTATTTGTATCATGTTTTCCGTTCTTGAGGTTTTTACAATGCCCATAGAAAGTGGTTGACATCTATGAATTGATTTTTTCCCTCACTGAAACACAGGGATATTTACAGTCTCTAAAAATGTGGTGCTGAACCAGAAGATAACCATTGACAGCCTCCTTAATATTCCCATAGTTGTGAAGTAATAGTAGAAGTCAAGATCATGTGGTTCACAGCCTCGGTGTAACGAGCCAGGCGCTTGCCATCAGACCCAAAATCTTAATTTATCAAGTGGTGCTGCCTACTTTATAAAGTGGCTGACACTAGGGCAGAGAAGCAATTGAATGCCGGTTTATTTATTTGGAAACAATCCAAGCTTTTTCAATCAGCATGAATGAGAATTACGGCCACAAAGAATTTGATTTAGAGTTGGAAAACTTGACCTTATTTCATTACAACCACAATTTAATGTCTTCCTAAAATTTGATGGCTACATGAAGGAAAAACAATACTAGCACACAGATTTTCGGCCATGTTTGATTCTATTATTTTAAAACTGATTTTTAATAAAGTATTTACTGTTCTATGAAATTAAATTACTCTTTAATATTATTGATTGGTGATCACATATTTGTGCAATGACAAGACCTAATAGTTGGTATTATTTTTGTACACAGTAAATGCTTTCAACTCAAACCCATATGTCCTTACACTCGTTAGCCTGAGTTTCTCACCATTAAAACAAGCAATATACCTAAATTAATAATCAAATTCACATAGAGAGAGAAAAGAAGAGCATTGCAACAGGGATCTGATTAGCCAAAGCCTTATTTGTATTAACTTAGAACACCAGACAGACTGATACCACACATGGTATGCTACATTCACAAGAACCTGCTATATTTACAAGAGAAAACACCAATGACCCAGACCCCAATGGCTAACTACATACAGTCTTAGCTGATCTCTGTTTTATTGTCGCACAATGGTGATCAAAGAAAATACTCCACAAGTTCTCACCATTTAAATCAACAAATGAGAGAACAGCTTCTCATCACAAGGCCACTAAACGAATTACAGAAGCAAAGAACCACAAGCAGAAAACTTTCTGCAACTAACAAGACTAAAAGGGACATGTCGACACTACCTTACACCCATTTGCGGCTGCTTAAGCCGAGATCGGAAGTGCTGGTCAGCAGTGACATCAGACTTCCCCCATGCACCCGTCCTTCAGGGACCACAGCCGGAACTGATGATGGCCTTCCTACCCCAACTGGTGGGCGAGCTTGCTGACGTATGAATTGTTGCCCTTCGAAACCAGGGAAGCCAACTGAAGTCATGCAACTACCCTCCATCTTCATGATGTCATCATTCATATCGTCATCAGCGACCACCCCTTGCCTATTCTCAGTTACCAAAACTCCCAAAGTGGCACCCCCATGAACCCGCTTGTCCTGCACCAGGGCACCATGTGACGTGCAAAGTCCAGTCTTCCCCCTAGCAAATGAATTGCAAGGACCATCACCTACGCCGAATTCTGACCCAGGGTGGCCCCAAGAGCATCTCTTTCCTCCACCATGTGCCTTGCAAAAATCAGTGCTACCTTGAGCGCTCTTGCCACACCCTTCAAATTTGCATCTCTTGCCCCCACCATGACGGACGCAAAAGTCGGTTCGCCCCCTTGCACTCTTTGAGCAATCTGGCACAGCACACCTCTTACCACCTCCATGAGCTACACAAAAAAGAGTCCCTCCATGGACACTCTTTGGGCAAACCCCACCACCTTGAAATGAACACCTTTTCCCTCCGCCGTGGCCCTTGCAGAAAGATGTGCTTCCTTCAGCACCCTTGGTGCACCCTTCAAACGTGCACCGTTTGCCACCACCATGCGCCTTGCAGAACATTGTGCTTCCTTGAGCCCCTTTTGTACATGCTGGATACTGGCATCTGCGACCACCTCCATGGGAAATGCAGAGACCAGAGAGGCCTTCTGCACTCTTTGTGCAGTTTTCTTTCTGGCATCTCTTGCCACCGCCATGACGAATGCACAATCCAGATTTCCCTCTGGCAGCACGAGTGCAACCCTCATGACTGCATCGCCTGCCACCACCATGTGCAATACAGAAATCTGTGCGTCCTTCGGCACTCTTAGTACATCCTAGGAATTCACATCGACGACCACCACCATGGGCCTTGCAGTACACAGTTCGGCCCTCAGCTCCTTTATGGCAGCCAGATCTTTGACACCTCCGGCCACCACCATGGGCAATGCAAAGGCCAGAAGCACCTCTTGCTCCCTTTCCACATCCTTGAAACTGACATGTCTTCGAACTGCTGCGTTGCTGCTGTTGTATGATCCCAGAAGTACAGGTCGCTGAGCTTTTTGGCGGTGTTACTGCACTTGATGAGAGGTCCCGAACAATGGGAGCTGAATCGACTTCTCTGAAAGTCTGGTCAAGGAAGAAACTAGCCTGTGTCTTCGGTGAAGAAGGCAACGGATGGAAAGAATTTCCAGATAACCAACTTATTGGCATTGATCCTTCATTAACAGCCAGTGGCATCTCCGTGACATTTTGAGGTGCAGAACTTAGATGGACACTGGTGATATCAGATTCAGTAGGCCCAGTCGAGAGACTCAACTCCAGATCCACCTTGGGATGCAAATTAGACCTAGCAGCTTTCTTTGGACTGGTTATCCTTTCATTGCCAAGATGGAGTGAGAAGTCCAGCTCAAGATCCATTGATGACTCTTCGTCAGTTTCTTTGGCTGAAGACATTGTAGTGCATGCAGTAGCTGAACTCCCTTTGCTGTCTGAAGAACTGGACGAATTGCCTAGCCCAAGACACAATGAAGAACCGATTTCAGTGCCCATAGATCCATCCATCAAACCCCACTTCCTTTTAGTTCCCTTTGAAGCAAAAAAGAAAGGGACGGAAGAACCAGATGCATCCATGAACTGGTAGCTAAAAAAAAAACGACTAACCTAATTACAACTACCAAAAAAAAAAAAAAAAAAAACAGTCTGTCTGACTTCTGGGCTAAAACAAAATTAGTAATAAACAAAAAAAAACGTTAGATGTCCCTAAAAGGGTACATCCCACCACCACTTATAAATCCTGAAGTATCGAGTCTATCCATTTGCTATAGAAGTTTAATATAGATTAAAGCTTTATAATGGAGAACACTGAAGAAATATCTTCACAACTCGAATACTTCAAGATAACGTTGTGCAGCCGTTCACCCTGTTACACAGCAAATTGAATAATTAGAGAGATATTTTTGTTGTCTATAAGTAAAGAAAACCAGAATTAATGCTGTAAATATTGCACAACACAAAAACAAGTTGATGCATTCTATGTAAATATTGCAACACAGACAGATATGGTCAACAGCACAAAATAAACGATATTTAAAGAGCTTAAGCATGAGGAATCAAGTTTCACTGTATAAGTACAAGTTGGACTCTGTATGGTAAAAATCATTTCAGTAGCACCAACAAAAAGATGGCCATTTATGGGTAAAAAGTTTGCTTTCTATTCGACTATATGCAGATCACCAATGCTGCAGGGGACCAGGGGTTAGTTTCTAATTGACATAAATATCATGGGTCAGCCATAGGAAGTTGATGAATATGTGGGAGAAACAAAAAAATGTAGTATTGAAGGAATGGCCCCATGCCCCCATCCTGATAGAGTTTTTAAAATAATCCTATAAATGGCTTCTTAGGTAGCCAAATCTTGTTTTCATAGCTTCAACAATCTCAATCATCTAATAGGAAAGTAAGTATGTAAATGCATATATATACACACACATTTATATAAGAAATCGCAAGAAAACAAATGCAATAGGATTAACTCCTCCACTCAAAAGGGCCAACTATGTGCTAAACAACCTGCAAACACTGTCAGATTGACTTCGAAACAAAGACAGATTTGGAAAAAGTCAAATATTAATCGAAGGAAAACTACAAGCATAAAATTGAACTTGATATGCAACAAAAGAAGAAAAGGTCCATATACCTAGGTCAAAGCAAAGCCAAATCATAGAACAAAAAATTAATAAAGATAACAAAGATATGCAGAGGGGGTAGAAGCACATAATGAAATATTATGATAGTTGGATAGCCCCAAAAAAAAAACGAATAGAGCTGAAACTTAACAATAGCAGTGAACAACATAGTAGATCTGCACCTCTTTCAATAAAAGAACAAAAAAAAACACCATTAAATTGTAGATAAAACCAATGAAAGCAATTCAGTTTAAAAATTTTTGGCCTCTAGTTACAAGGAAAATGAATTACTCAATTCTGCCAATTAAGTGTACAAGACCTAATTGAGCTGAATTTTTTACTTTTTTCGAAATCCAAGACCATACAAAGTATAAACCCTCAGTTCTTCGCCGTTTATTTTCAGTTTCTCAGCAACCAAACGGGGCACAGGCAAAGAACAAAAACAGTAACTAGAATCAAAATTATGCAGAAATAAATCCAAATAACATGAAAGACGATATAATCACTACTCGAGAAGAATTCAAAAATAGACATAAAAAATTTATCAGAAGAAAAATTAATAAACCAATACAGATTAAAAAAATCTATGCTTTCAAATCTCAATCCCCGCAGAGTAGACACGAATCAAGACAAATCCAGAAACAGAAGATGTAAACATATTAGATATGAACGATTTACATGCACTGGTACATAAAATTCAGATTTCAATTTGGAAATGAAACAGAAGAAACAGATTATATCAAGCAATTAAAGGATTCATAAAGTAGTGTTCGAATCTGAAACAAATTCAAACATTGAGCAGAGAACGAAGGCTTCCAATTCGAGACAATGGACTGAAGAAATTACCTTCAAGAATTTGATTAGTCTATCGTACAGGTGTGTGTATATATGCAGAGGTAGGGAGAAAGATATAGATTTGAGAGAGAGGGGGAGAGAGCTAGGGATTTTGTAGCGCCGGCACAAACAAGACAGGGGAAGACAGAGAAAACGAGGAAAAGTACACATATATATAGCGCGAGATCGAGAGGGGAAGAGAGAGGACAGAGTAGGGCTAATTAGTCATTGTGCCAATTGCCATTTAATTTTTAATTTTTAATTTTATTCTTTTATGGATAACCATTGAAATTAAATTAATTGACAGAGCCCCTTAAATCAAAATTATCAAATGGTAAATGCATCTTAACTAACCAAAGTTGTCGTTTTAATGCTCATTAGTAATCAATCTAAAGGAAAAAAAAAAAAAAAAATTGATTGTGTATTGTATAATTAAAGTTATGACCTTATATACATTTTGAATCATAAAATTACATTATATACTAATAATCTCAAATAGTGGGATAATGATTTGTTGAATTTTTAAAAACTTAAAAGATGAAATTTTATACCTTTGTTTTGTTAAAACAACAAATCAATTAATTTTTGAAAAAAAAAAAAAAAAAAGACAAATCAGTTCATTCTTAGCAACAAAAAAATAAAAGTAACTTAGTTGAATTATAAAATTTCACAAAAGTTGTAATATAATGAAATCTCTTCCATATTAAAACATGGACAGTTTATTTTTAGAGCAGTATCCAACACTTAAATATGGTCAGGACACATATTGAATACTAGAATTATCCAGGTAATTATATTTGTATTTTCTGGTTTGATACGGCTAGGGGACATGATATGTTTTGGACACATGACACAACAATGATATGTTTTGGACACCTGAGACGCGAGGTGATTTTGTAATAATTATTTTTTAGAATATGAGATTTAATGCAATTTATAATATATATATATATATATATATATATATATATATATATATATATATATTGTATTATTATTATTTGAAAGTATCCAGGTCATACTGTGTCATTTTTTTTTTTTTGAGATTTGTCGTATCGCCTTGCTCGTATCATATTGTATCCCTGTCCCGTATCCGTATTGGTGCTTCCTAGTTTGGACAAAGTGTAATGAAAAAATAATAATAAATAAATGAATTAAAGGTTTTAAAATAAAAACCTAAAATGAAATTTAAAATCACTTTAATGGTGCTTAATTTTAAGTATATCTAAAATCAGTAAAATGGTGCACAATTTTCAAAATTTTCTTAAATTTCTATTGTTTAAGAAATTAAAAAGAAAACCTAAAATTAAAATCATTTTAAGAGAAAACATAATTTTTTAAAAATATTATATTAAGGGAAATTTTCATTATTATAGCATCACTTTAATAGTGCGTAATTTTCTTAGGTTTATATTTTTTTAAATCAAAAAGAAAAATAAAACCTAAAATGAAAATCATTTTAAAGAAAATTTAAATTTTTATTAAGAGATATTTTCGTCATTGTAAAATAATTCTAATGGTTAATTGGGCCTTTTATAACAATTAGATAGTTGTTACAGGAGAAAACTTGTCCCACATCGGATCCAGATGGGAAGTGACATGGGTATAAATAGGTGGATATGCAGCACTACCTAATAGTTCGAGTTTTTGGGTAAATAGACAAGCGCCCACCCGTTACAGTTGGTATCAGAGCCAAACTCAGTCCTTGATCTGGTGCCATGCCAAGCACTCGACCCAGAAGGCGTCCGGGTGAGCCACCCCAGGTAGGTAGGGTGGCTTGACCGCAACGAGGGCGTTGCGAGTTCGGGTGAGGGAGAATGTTACAGGAGAAAACTTGTCCCACATCGGATCCGGATGAAAAGTGACATGGGTATAAATAGGTGGGTATGCAGCACTACCCAATAGTTCGAGTTTTTGAGTAAATGGGCAAGTTCGAGTTTTTGAGTAAATGGGCAAGTGTCCACCCGTTACAATAGTCCATTGTGATTTTAGGTCAATTTTTTTAGCAGTCTTGTGCAAAAAATTGAAAGTGGTAGGGGGGTTTTTACGCAATTTGCCCACAAAAATATATATATTTTTAAATTAATAATTCTTTGTGATAACTAGTTAAAATGCACGTGCAGTGCACTTGAATGTAATGTATTATAACTCACAAAATTGAATTACTCACTTTAGTTTTTATCAAAATATTATGTATATCTTACCTAAAAATGCATGTATTTATTATACAACAACATTATTGAGGCATATAATATAAAAGAACATGATCAATAAATAAATGAACATGATCAATTAAAAAAAAAAAATTGAATACATTTTTAAAAAAATCACAATATATTCAATAAAATATTATGTTTCTTTCACATAAGTGCAAGATACTAAAAAATGGGCACGTTGTAACAACGTATTTGATTCTCATTATCAGTTTTTATACTTTCGTAACTACTTCTAAGACCTTGATGAACCCATTCGTATGACCAAATATTATTTGGGTTGAAAGATATCCATACCTGGATAAACAATAACAAAATATAGTATTTGGTTAGTCAAGTTAACACTCATTAAAATGTATGTTGTCAAAATCAAAATAGGATAAAAATAAAAGTGAGAACTTCATTGAACAAGATTATAAAGGTATTGATTTTTTTAATTAATAAAATTGTTAAGATCTAAACGCGCCTATATAGCTTATACTACTAACCATCTTTATATGTATGCGGTCTTATCTTTGCATAGAGTAGTGGTTTCTAATTTCGAACCCATGACTTCCAGATTGCAATGGAGTAACCTTATCGTTACGCTTACCTTTCTTAAAAAATGCACGCTATGATTAGCAATTGGCTGTGCTGGAACGGCATTAGAAATCGTCCAGTGTTCAGGAAATGTTATCTCACTCCAAGGAATCATCCTTTTTGTGGCAACATTTGATGTGTACATGTTGGTATCCCATAACGCTGTTACTCCTTTAGAATCTTTGCGTATGGCATTGGGACACATAGTATCAAGTACTTTGTAATGGATGCGATAAATAACACTTATCACTTCCGATCCAGGTAAGTAATCATACCCATAGGTTTGAACACGAAGACTAACTGCCTCATGGATGTTTTTATCTGTTAAAGATAAATTCAGACTAGGATAAACATTAAAATAAACCGGTCCATGACATAGACTGGTTTCCAGTGCACCCATCAAAGAAGGGTGGAATTTCAGACATCGAGCATCCCTAAGGGTCGCCTGAATACAAGCATCCATACCTAACAAGGTTAAAGGTTTAAAAGCAATTTGAATTAAACCTATATGGATGTACTTATATTTATGTATGTGCCTCTGAAGGTCACGGGAAGACAATAACTTAATTATTGTATCCTTAGTGCTTAATTGCATGGTTTGTTCCATGGTTTTTACAGTCCATAGATCAGTTAAATTAAGCATTCCGATTTTGTAAATGCTCTTAGCACTTACTGGAGGAATAGTCCAGCTGTTCAATTTATTTTGAACATTGGTCCATTCTACTAATTCAGTATTTTTTACCAATTCTGAATCTTGGTTGTCATGTACTCCTGAAGAGGAGGAAGATGGTTTTAACATGGCTGCTAAATATTGTTAATGCTTAAAGGTCTGTATAGGATAAATATTAGCATATTATGTAATGAACAGTAAGTTACTATTCTGTCGTCTTTCTGCTTAAGAGAGATTCTATTACTCGTCTGTCAACGATTTACTGGAAACAATACCCTGTGCAGCAATTTAATGCAAAAGTGGGTTAAACATTCCAACGCGACTTTTGGACGACCCATAATGGAATCTGGGATAAACATAAGTTGGACAGAATAGTAGTCGTATTGTTCATAACATAATTACAATAATAATCATGCTACCAGTACCTAAGAAGCATTAACAATGGAAAGTTAAGCCATCATAGCTCTGATACCAAATATTAGTTTTAATGGATTTTGTCCCCGATAGAATTGCCATTAATACTGAATTTCAACAGGATCAATATAAAGAATTCAGAAATTGGTATTTTAAAGTTTTTGACCAAAATCAATTACAACTTTTTAAAATCCAATTTTATGAATTTTTACAAGAACGCAAAATGGTTATACCTTTTGTTTCTTGGTTCTTCATGACCAATCATTCTCTTGTTAATATAAACATATTGGATGATTTTCTTAAATCATGGACCACATCTGAAGATAAGGTTTTTCACTCTGTCCATCCTCCCACTGAACATCTAATTCTGAAAAGGATTGACCCTGACAGTGGTTCCAAAGTGGAAACCAAGGCTTATAGCCAACCTAGAATAATTGATCCATCCTGTAATGCTACTAAAAAGGACATTTCTCATGTTTACAGGCAGAACAATTATACTAATGTTTGCTTACAAACGGTAGGGTCCCAGCTTGGGAGAATTGAAACAGGCATCGACACGGTATTAAATATAATTAATACTAAGTGTATTACTGTTAAAACTTCTCCTCCAGAAGCTTCCTTATCCAAAGCATTGGTGAAACCTGCATTTGAAGTTCAAGGCTTCAATCTTACACATCCTAAGAAGAATGAAGAATTTCTTACTCTTCTTACTCAGAAAATTCAAGGACTTAAACTTCAGACTTTATCCCATGATGAATCTGAAATTGGTTCTGATTCTGAAAATGTGTTACCTCATCTTGAGGTATTCCAAAATGATTTTACTCAGAGGCCTGAGTTAAACCGAATCGTCTATGATAAGAATATCCACTCTAATACAGCCCCTGCTCCGAGTAGATATTATTATCCCAGACCCACACCTCAAGATATCTTGTATGAAGAAGATTATTTCCATACACAGAAATTTTTTCATGGCAAGACTATTTATGAATGGAACATAGATGGCAAATCTGATTATCAGATTTACGAGATTATTCATCAAATATTGATGTATAGCCAAGTTTGTAAAATCAACAACAACACTGACCCAACCATTGCTAAGTTTGTCGTTGCTGGTTTTACAGGAATCCTTAAAGGATGGTGAGATAATGTCCTCACTGACATTCAGAAAGCTGAAATCTTTTCTGCCACCAAGCTTGTTAAAGATGAAGCTACTCAACAATCAGGACCTGCTCCAGATGCGGTTTATACCCTCATCACCACCATAATCCAACATTTTGTTGG